GTGACTGTATAGGTAATATAATGGCAGAAATTCATATCTCTCAGTAGTTACTCTGAATGTAAATGGGCTAACTGCCCAAACCAAAACACACAAGGTATCAGATTGGATAAAAAACAAGACCCCAATGATATCCTCTCTACAACAGACTCATTTTAGACCCAAAGACACGTCCAGTTGAAAGTCAGGGGGTGGAAAACATTTATCATGCTAATGGACATCAAAAGGAAGCAGGGGTAGAAATCCTTATATCAGACAAATTAGATTTTAAACCAAACAATGTAGTAAGAGATGAGGAAGGACACAATACCATAATAAAGGAATCTATAAAACAAGAAGATCTAATAATTGTAAATATTTATGCCCCTAACATGGGAGCAACCAAATACAGAAACCAATTAATAACAAAATTAAAGAAACACATGGATAATAATGCAATAAAATGGACAGATCATCTACGCAGAAGATCAACAAGGAAACAAAGGCTTTGAATGACACATTGGACCAGAGGACCTTCACAGATATTCAGAGCATTCCATCCTAAAGCAGCAGAACACATTCTTCTCAAATGCACATGGAACATTCTCCAGAATAGATCACATCATGGGTCACATATCAGGTCTCAACAGGTACCAAAAGATGGGGATCATTCCCTGCCTATTTTCAGACCACAATGCTTTGAAACTGGAACTCAATCACAAGAGAAAATTTGGAAAGAACTCAAATACATGGAGGTTAAAAACCATCCTACCAGGAAATGGATGGGTCAACCAGGAAATTAAAGAAGAATTAAAAAAAAAATCACGGAAAACAAATGAAAATGAAAACACTGCAGCAAAGGCGGTCCTAAGTGGGAAGTATATAACAAAGAAGCATTTCTCAAGAAACAAGAAAGGTCTCAGATACACAGTGTAACCCTACACCTAATGGAGCTGGAGAAGGAACAGCAAATTAAGCCTAAACCTAGCAGAAGAGAATTTAAAAAGATTAGAGCAGAAATCAATGAAATAGAAACCAAAAGAACAGTAGAACAGATCAAAGAAACTAGGAACTGGTTCTTTGAAAGAATCAGTAAGATCAATAAACCCCTGGCCAGACTCATCAAAAGGAAAAGAGAAATGACCCAGATAAAAAAATAATGAAAGAGGAGAGATCACAACCAACACCACAGAAATACAAACAACAAGAACATATTATGAGCAACCATATGCCAACAAATTAGGTAATCAGGAAGAAATGGATGCATTCCTAGAAATGTATAAACTACCAAAACTGAAACAGGAAGAAATAAAAAACCTGAACAGACCAAAACCAGCATAACAATTGAAGAAGTAATCAAAAATCTCCGAACAAACAAGAGTCCAAGGCCAGATGACTTCCCAGGGGAATTTTACCAAACATTTAAAAAAGAAATAATACCTATTCTTCTGAAGGTGTTTCAAAAAATTGAAATGGAGGGCATCTTCCAAACTCATTCTATGAGGCCAGCATTACCTTGAATCCAAAATCAAACAAAGACCCCAACAAAAAGGAGAATTATAGACCAATATCCCTGATAACACGGATGCAAAAATTCTCACCAAAACACTAGCCAGTAGGACCCAACAGTACATTAAAGGATCATTCACCATGACCAAGTGGGATTTATTCCTGGGCTGCAAGGGGGGTTCAACATCAGCAAAATCAATGTGATACAATACATAAATGAAAAAAAAAATATGATCCTCTCAACAGATGCAGAAAAAGCATCTGAGGGCGCCTGGGTGGCTCAGTCATTAAGCATCTGCCTTTGGCTCAGGTCATGATCTCAGGGTCCTAGGATCGAGCCCCGCATTGGGCTCCCTGCTCGGCAGGAAGCCTGCTTCTCCCTCTCCCACTCCCCCTGCTTGTGTTCCTTCTCTCGCTGTGTTTCTCTCTGTCAAATAAATAAATAAAATCTTTAAAAAAAAAAAGTTGACAAATACAGCGTGCTTTCATGATTTAACTCTCCACAGTGTAGGGACAGAGGGAACATACCTTAGTATCATAAAAGCCATATAAAAAAAGCCCACAGCAAATATCACTCTCAATGGGGTTTTTGAAAAACTGAGAGCTTTTCTCCTTAGGTCAGGAGCACAGTGGCTATCACCACTCTTGTTCAACATCGTACTTGGAAGTCCTAGCCTCAGCAATCAGACAACAAAAAGAAATAAAAGGCATCCGAATGAGCACAAAAGACTCATCTCAATCTTCACAGATGACATGACACTCTAGCGGAAAACCCAAAAGACCCCATCCCAAAACTGCTAAAACTCATACACGAATTCAGCGAAGTGGCAAGATACAAAATCAATGCACATATATCAGTTGCATTTCTATACACAAACAATGAGACTGAAGAAAGAAATTAAGGAACTGATCCCACTTACAATTGCACCAAAACCCATAAGATACCTAGGAATAAACCTAAACCAGAGGTAAACGATCTGTACTCTAAGAAAATATAGAACAGTTATGAAAGAAATTGAGGAAGACACAAGGAAATGGAAAAATGTCCCATGCGCATGGAATGGAAGAACAAATATTGTTAAAATTAGATTGCTCTAGGTAGCATAGACATTTTAACAATATTTGTTCTTCCATTCCATGCGCATGGGACATTGCTCTAAACATTCAATGCAATCCCTATTAAAATACCATCAACTTTTTTCACAGACCTGGAACAAACAATCCTAAAATTTGTATGGAACCAGAAAAGACCCCAGATAGCCAAAGGAATGCTGAATAAGAAAACCAAAGCTAGTGGCATCACAATTCTAGTCTTCAAGCTCTATTACAAAGCTGTCATCAAGCCAGTGTGGTAGTGGCACAGAAACAGACACATAGATCAAGTAAGACAAAGTCATAGTGGGATACAAACCGTAAGAGACTCTTAACTCTAGGAAACGAGTTGCTGAAGGGGAGTTGGGTGTGGGATGGGGTAACTGGGTGATGTAATGAGAGCACTGGGTGTTACATGCAACTGATGGAAATCACTAAACTCTACTTCTGAAACTAAAAAAAAAGTCTGTTTTGTCAAAAAAATTACAATTTATGAAACACCACTGTGTATTAATTATTGCAAACAACAATACGGTCTAAAATTTACAGATAAAAGTATTAACAGTATTTGTAGTATCTTCCCCTAAAGATACTTATTATGTAACGCTACGTAATCAAAGTAACATTGCTAGTCACAAGGTACACAACAGTATGTGATCTCTAGTGATGAATTCAGAAAGGAGTACCATTTCTGTAGTAATCTTATGCACAACCTAAATTTCAATGACAAAAATCAAACAAACCCATAGGGAGTAACATTAATAGTTAGGTATTTTGTAGACTGTTCAAAAACATCAAAATTGTGGAAAATCAAAGAACACTGGGCAAATGCCCCAAGCAGAAGGACATTAAGGAGACTATGACAACTAGGTGCAAAGTAGGATTCCACTTTCAATCATGGATCATAAAAAGATCAGTTAACAGGACTATATCAATTTCCTGGCTTAGATAACTGTGTACTACAAATGAGCGATGTTAATATAAGAAGAAGGTAGAGAACAATATACATTTTTGTAAGCCAAGAGTTATTTCAAAATAAAAATTAAAAAATTATTGCTAATACTTATTGTTTCCAGCCTATAAAAAATAATACTCCAAACATTTTGGTAGAGCAGGTACACCAAATACAAAAACCTGACAAAAACAGAACAATATAAGCTGTTTATTTAGGATTATATTTTCAGAAATTGCAAATAAAATTTAACAATTATAATAGGGAAATGTTTATGAATATATATACACAAACAGACATGCACATTCACACATACACAAAATATAGTTCAAGAATGTTCGTTTTAGGGCGCCTGGGTGGCTCAGTTGGTTAAGCGACTGCCTTCGGCTCAGGTCATGATCCTGGAGTCCCGGGATGGAGTCCCATATCGGGCTCCTTGCTCAGCAGGGGGTCTGCTTCTCCCTCTGACCCTCCCCCCTCTCATGTGCTCTCTCTCTCTCTCATTCTCTCTCTCAAATAAATAAATAAAATCTTTCAAAAAAAAAAAAGAATGTTCGTTTTTAGGAAAAGTTAGTTTTTAGCCTAACCAATAATTATAATGGCAACTAAGATCACCTATAATACATGATAAATACAAATCATTTTATTAAACTGTCAACAAATTTTGCCAAAAATGCCCAATAAAGATAGGAAAGTTACCTAAAATGACCCTTAACTAAACGAACCTTAAACTAATAGGATTAATATTCACTGTCAAATAAGCAAGGGCCATTTCTTCTTCCATATATTCTGTAAGAACAATGAATTAAAAAAGAAAAACAAAATTTTGGAATTTTAATGAAATGCCACTGAAAAGTAAACAAAAATATCTCTTATATATAAGTAAGAAAATAAAGTAGTTGTACAATCCCCATCACTACATTAACAAAACTATGAAATGACCGGGACTGAATAAAAAAATTACACCAGCAGTTTTCCAACATAACAATTTGATTAAAAATAGAATGACGTACCTTGCAGTTGGATAGGATGACTCAATTTTAAAGAGATCTATTCTCTCCTAATTAATCTATTAAATTTGGTGCAAATGAAATTAAAACTGCATTTTTTTCCAACTTGCAAAATAATTTTAAGCATCAATTGAGAGAAAAAAATGTGACTATAGACAGGGGATATTCTGAAAAAAAGAAGAGAAATGAGACAGATCTCAATGGAATAGGCTAAAAATCATCAATAACTTTAAAGTATCAATAGACAGTAAGGCAAACAGAGAAATGCAGTTGATTATATGTGGGAATTTCTAAATAACCTTAAGTCAAGGTAAATAATTTGAGTAGATAATGCTTTAAAACCACAGTAATGATTGATGGAAAAAATAAAATGACAGATTGACAAAAAAAAATGGAAGAAAATACAAAGAATGCATGAGAGTGATACACACGTTTTTGAATAAAAACACAAAACTCAAAAGTCATAAAGCAGAACATTATATTTGAATACACAATTTCTGTACAACCAAAAAGTAAAACATCACAGTAAAACGGTGGTGAGAACACATGGTATTTCATTAGCAATGCATGGCAAATGTTTAACATCCTTAGTCATAAATAATCTTTTAGAAACCAGTAACAAAAACACTAATACTCTGAGGGAAATGAAAAAAAAAAATTAAAACCCACAGAGGAAAATGAAGTAAGTGACTAGTAAGGTTTAAGGACATATGAAGATGACTGAACTGAACAGTAAGGGAAGGAAAGCAATTTTTTTGTAATACCACATTTTCAAAGATTAAAACATTGAAATGTAATATTTCTACTGTTCAAGAAAACAGAAGTCTCATAAACATACAGTGGGTTTCAAGATTGATGAGGACAATCTATACCATTTGGGGAAAATTTCCACTGTTGACTCAGAATATAAATTTTGGATATACTTAATTCCAAGAAGGTGGAAATACTAAGACTGTTTTCAACAAATTAGCCAGAGAAATTAAAAATTATTTCTATATAAAGCATGTAACTGCTTAGAAAATTTGTAGCTAATGTATGTGTCCAAAGGACTACTAGCATAACCATTTGTTCATCAATATAGCCCAAAAAGATACGCACAAAACTCCATTAACAGTAGATAATGTTGGGAAGTAGAATTAGGAGGGGAAAAAAGCATTTAAGTAAAAAATACTATCCTTCACAAATTTCTGTGCCTTTTGAAATATGGAAAAAGGTAATTTTTTTATCAATCAATTTTAAATTTACCCTGTAGTATATGAAAATTATAAATATATGCACTTTATACTTATGAGAACACTGAAATGAAGCCTTGCAATCACAGCATCCTGTGTAATAACATTTCTGTGTAATAACATCTCCCGCATTCAATCTCCTGAGATTTAGTCCAGTGTCAATAATGAAAACAGTCAACATGCCTGGTTACAATTCCCTCCAATGACACTCTTTAGGTAACTTTCAAACTTGAGCTTTCTCAGTCCAGTTTTTCTGATCTGTGAGGAATAGCCACTCCAACACATGAAAGAGAAGTCTCCATAACATTATGAAGACTGTCTTTTGGATTTGAAGATGGTGACAGAAGCAATAGCATCAGTTTTCTGTTAAGTCATCACCTGAGAGGATACATTAGGAAATGGGTAAAAGTTAGAAACAACACTTTTACACAATTATCAGTAGGAGCTAATAAAATTATGTACAATGAAATGCAACAGCCATTTAATTGTAAAGAAATAACAGATGGATCAGAATTACTTTTTGAATTTCTAGTAAGGCTAGAGATGGTAACTACACTTATTGTGTTGACCATTGCATAATGCACAGAATTTCGATTCACTATCACTATTCACTATTGATACACCTGAAGCTAATGTACCACTGCATGTTAATTTTAATAAAACCCAGTTCTTTCTTCTCATACCTTGATAATTCTCATGTCTCTGTTCAACTATGTATTTGAATGGTTGCTTGTATCTCTAGATTGCTTATTCACATACAGAAATATTTCATGTAATCTATATGCATTTCTGTACAAGGAACAGGACAGCAATGCCAAAAAGTTCCAAAAAAATAACAAAAGGACCTCAGTCCATTTGATGAGAAAAATGGTAACTATACTAAAGATATAGATGCTACAGTGGAACTTCAGAATAGATTTAGATCTTAACCCATTATTCCAGCTGGCTACCACAAAATTGTTGAGTAGGCACTTCCCCCAAGAAGTCCTTAATCTTCTATTTAGTAATGATTAATCCTAAGCAAAAAAAAAACTTTATTATTAAAGTCTTCACCTTTAAGGTTATTCTGGGATTAACAGGTAGGCAGCCAAGGCTCTCTGAAAAACAATGTCTAAGGAATTTGTCTGCATTCACGCTTGGCCTTATATCCCATAAATTAACCTTCTAAAGGAGTAGAGTGGGAAAAGAAAGAAAAATGAGAATTTATTTATTTATTTGAGAGAGAGAGACAGCTCATGAGAGGGGGGAGGGTCAGAGGGAGAAGCAGAATCCCCGCTGAGCAGGAAGCCCTATGTGGGACTTGATCCTGGGACTCCAGGATCATGGCCTGAGCCGAAGGCAGTCGCTTAACCAACTGAGCCACCCAGGCACCCCAGCTCTTACCTGTTCTTACAATAATTTCGCCAAGGGGTATTCCTGGGACCAGATATCAGAGGTGAAGAACACTTGAATAAATAATACTGTCAATGAGAGGTCTGGTGATACCAATTCTTGCAATTACAAAGAAGGCAGAAGTGTGTTTTCATGGAACTATCATCTCCTGATAGGAAGAAAAAAGAAACATAGTAAGGTAAGATATACACCATTGTCCTAGAATAGCTAAAGCAGCAGGTAAGTAGAAGCTCATCTTGAACTTTGTTATAAATTTCTTTTAATGCTTAGAAACAATACCTCATTAATCAATCCCATAGCTGATGTAACTCTCCAACATCAGCCATTACTTTACCAATACTTTTAAGTTTTTATTTAAATTCCAGTTAGTAACATACAGTGTACTACTTGTTTCAGATGTACCATTTAGTGATTCAACGCTTCCATACAACACCCCTTGCTCATCACAAGTGCCCTCCATAATCCCCATCACCTTTTCATCCATTCCTCCTACCTACTTCCCCTGGTAACCATCAGTTTGTTCTCTTTACTTAAGACTGTTTCTTGATTTGCCTCTGTCTCTTTCTTCCCTTTGCTAGTTGGTTTTGTTTCTTAAATTCCACATGAGTGAGATCATATGGTATTTGTCTTTATTGACAAATATATGACTGCAATCCACCTCACTGCACATGGCAAGGTCTCATTCTTATTTTATGGCTGATTAACATTCCATTGTTTATTTAACACTTCTTCCTTATCCATTCATCAGCTGATGGACACGAGCTATTTTCATAGTTTGGCTGCTGTAGATAATGCTGCTATAAACACTGGGGTGCATGTATCCTTCTGGATTAGTATTTTTGTATTCTCTACATAAATGCCTCATGGTTCAATTGTTGAATCATATTTTTAACTTTCTGAGGAAGCTCCACACACTTTTCCACAGTGGCTGCACCGGTTTGCATTCCCACCAACAGTCCAACCCACAAACAGTCCAAGAGGGTTCCCCTTTTTGTTCAGTTTCCATGAACTTCTCCCTTTATCACACTATAAAATTTACTTGCAAAAATTCTTTCTGCCCAGCTAATGAACAATTGATCACTTATTTATAACATTACTTATGTTATGATATTTGATTATAAATAAGGTAATTAACTGGAAGAATACACAAATAATCTCCTACATTCTACATATACTCCACATCTCTATTTCAGTAAAATTATCTTTGGAAAGCATTAATTTTCTAATTCTCAGACATGGTTGAATATTCCAAAGTCTGCACCAGTGACATTTTCCTGAGCCTAGACAAAGACTTGTCCTAAAACAGCACTTCTTGATCCAGTACCTTCTTACCTGTAGTTCCCAGATAAGACTTTTAAATTAAGGAAGTCCAATAGCATGAGGAATGTTCCTGATGTCAGCTGTCCTCAGGTTACCTATTAATCTCTTCTTTTCATCATGTACATCTGATAATTAAGTATACATGTAGCCAGTTACAAATGAGACACCAGGACACACAAGTTAGGATGACTTCAGAATCATGAATAGCGAATGGAGATAAACCAGCAGTTAACAGCACAGTTAACTTTTTAAAAATTTTCTTACCTTATCAGTGAACATTTAACACAAATTTATTGAAATGCTTCTCATTTCTGAATATTAAAAAACGTAAAGACCTACTTGAAATCCTTCTGACAGACTCAACTACCATATAAGTAAAGAATCCATTCTCCAATTACTCCCATTAATTAAGAGTAACTTATTATAATACTCTCCCTCAAACAACGTGATATAGTCAGTAACCACAAATATGGCAATGCATTATGAAAATTTACCCTTTACAGAAAGTTTCAATGACTTATTTTAATCATTCATGTGATTGTAAACCCAAATATAATTGTTTAGCACCTACCTCAAATCCCATCTTCTCCCATACTCTTTTCTTGGATCCCTCAGTACTGTTTCAGTGTGTATAACTCTCTGCTGTACTAGAGTTTCTAAATCACACGTTCTTCGTGATCACTGACAAACTATTCCGAATGGCCGCTGGGAATACAAAATTGGATATAACAGCCCAATACTCCCAAGATGTCAACAGGCAAGAATACAGAGATGCACAACTTGGTTGTATCTTTAAAATTCCCTTTTGTTGTTTTAATGTTCCTTTTGAAATATCTTTAAAATTTCAATGCAGAAAGCAGATGCAGTCCTTCCAGTCCCAACTCTCTACACAGTAATGTTAAAGTTTTGCTGTATGATCTTCCAGACAACTTTCTATTCAGCAATTCATATATTCATTTCAGATTGTCATGTAGCAATATACAGATAACTAACAATGTTTTACCATTTAACTTACACATGTACAAAAATCTTAAGAATGCTAAAATAACCAGTATAATAACACTGATGAGTAAGCATTACTTAACTCTATAATCATGTCAGGATAATTAAATTCCTCAGGAATAGTAAATATTACCATTTCCATTAGAACAACGATAGACATATGGACACAACTCTGTAAACACACTATTAGTTGATATTTGTTCAAAAAATGAAATAATTTAAAATACCCACTTAAAACACCCTTTCACATCAGAATGTCTTCCAGTGTTTAAATTATATTCATATGATGAAAGATACAACCATTATGATCTTTTATGGATATATATTTCAGATGCTCAATTATTTGATCAGGAATCAATATTATTTGATACTCAATATATAACATACTTTCTTCATTGTAAATTTGAGACTTGGAATAGATAAAATCCCAGCAGCAAGTTATACCACTTCAAATGTTTACACACTTGAATTTCAACTATTATTGCCAAACTGCTGTTCAAAAAATATACTAATTTATATCTTTGTTTATACTTTTTATTTCTTTCTAAGCAATTTTCATAATTTATTACAGGCTACTAAGATGGAACACTTTTGACATTTGTTTGACTACTGCATAACATACAAATATAATTACACACTGGACATTTTCAAAAAGCTCTTAGAATAATAAAATAAATATTCATAATCACAGAAATTCTATTTTCATTTAGATGTATATATACATGGTAACAGAAAACAAACACATATGGAGCTACTTAACAATTTTATATTAAAAATAACATACATTTAGATATACCAAGAAGTGGGATTATAAAATGTTTAAGCTTAGATTTGAAATACTATTTCCATAATTTTCAAAAAAATAAAATGCAAAGCAATAAGCTAATAAATGAGAATGAGAATACCATCAGATTTATGCTCCTAAAACTAATTTTACTGTATACAGGTGCTTAACATTTATATTATATAAGTATACGCATATACACATATAAATTTGCTATAAGTACATCTTCATAACATAGTAAAATAACAAATACAAGTATCTTTTAACAATGAACATATCTGTGGTTTTAAACAATTCCCTTTCTCATGTCTTCCTTCTTCTTTCAAGGATAAAATACATCCTGGGTATTTTCATTCATTTTGTAAGTATAAAATATAATCTTTTCTTCTACATGAGAACGTAACAATCTGTAGAAAAAGGAAGTGATCGGTCTATCCCTCTGCCCAAAAACCCACCTAACAAACATCAAAATGGTACATAACACTAAAAGAACAATTATTAATTACTTATTACACTGACAAAATATTTAGAAAAAACAATTTATGGTATTTGACAAAGAAATATTTATAAATGTGTATGTTGTGAAATTTTGTGCATCTGGAAAAATTAGGTATTTATAAATATATTCATCTGTTATTTACAAAGTTGTCTTGAATGTTGTCATGCTGTCCAGTTAAATACGAAACTGAATAGCTTGAGGAGGGAGAACAAAATTTCTTATATAACATATTTCCTATGATTAAAACACATAATGCCCTTTCAGCAATACAGCTGTAAAATACTGACTTAGGATTTTTAATGTATAAGAGTGTATAATAAATACAAGAACTAAACAGTGATTAAAATGTAAAATTTTCTTTTAGAGTATGCAAGAGTGGAAGTACACCCTTTTAACGTTCTCCCCCTAACAACTCAATAAACAGATACCAAAATATGTATAGTTCAAGAAACCTAAAATTGTTATCAATTGCAATGCTATTACAATACTTGATAATAATGACTATGATAAAGTTTACAATGAATTATTTACAAAATTATACTTTGTGAGACTCTACACATCTAGAAAGACTAGATGTTAAAAATTAAAAAAACTGCATCTATTATTTACAAAGTTGTCTTGAATATTGTCATGCAACCAAAGGAACACATACAGAACTGTATATTGTTCCAAGAGGTAGTATAAAATCTCTTTAAGAAAGTCATTTATATCTCCAATGTAAACAAAAACCATAAAAATAAATATGAGGGAGGGATGAATAGGTGGAGCACAGAGAATTTTTAGGATAATTAAAATAGTCTGTATAATACCATGATGGATACAGGTCATTATACATCTGTCCAAACTTAACAAAATGTACAACACCAAGAGTTAACCAAAACAAACCATGGACTTTGGGTTATAATGCTATGTCAATGAAAATTCATCAGTAGTAACAAATGTACCAGTCTGATAAGGGATGTTGATAATGGGGGTGATTATCCATGTACAGAGTGGATAATGATGGGGATTATATATGTGTTGGGCAGGAGCTATATGGCAAATCTCTGTACCTTGCCCTCAATTTTGCTGTGAACCTAAATCTGCTCTAAAAAATAGTCTTAACATAAAAATAAAAGATATACACACACACACACATACATATATATATATATCAGGAAGTTCCTAATGAAATACATTATGATACATTCAGAAATACCAAATGAATTTACATGGTACAAGTTTTTTAATATATAATTTGTACTTATTCACTGGCGTACTATTATACTATGAGAATGGGGTAATGCACAGTCTTTTCTATTTCTCCTCTTAACAACCAAATTAATATAAATGTTGCACAGCTCCAAGAGCCTGCATATCAATGATTAATTTCTCTGCCATGCTGATTTTAAAATACAATAATCCTAACACATTTACAATGAAAACATTTATATTATACTGTGACACTCAATACATCTAAAAATTTAAATGTTTAAAAATAAATATTTCACTTGCCCATTATTTACAAAGTTGTCATACTGCCATATAACAGATGAACATAGAGTTTTGTAATTTAGATTCTGTAAAATGTTCTTTAGAAAAGTGAATTTCATCAACGTAAGTATATCTGAGAAAATAAGATATACCTAATGTCCCTTAAGTAGGCAGAAATATGTTTATATAAAATGGGTACAATTTAATTATTGCAGTCTAATTTTTCTTCTAAATGAAATTGTGAGACAAAACTTTTAACCACTCTATTCTCCCTGACTATATACATGTGTGTGTGTATAAACACACATAAATGTTAACAAAAATATAGCTCAGAATCTTTTAACTCAATTTTCAAGTCATTTGTCTTTAACAACCCCAGCAATCCATATAATCCTATACAAAGGTGAACAGTATCAAAATACTGTTTCTACCCTCTATCATGTTCAACAACTCTATATATTTCCTAAGTCAAATGTTATAATTACAAATACCACTGTTTAACAAACCACAAAGAGCCACCCATATAGAATTCTCAGAATAATTTGCAAATATTAAACATGTCAAACTTATAGTTTATCAATAGCATGACTGCAACATATACATATTCACAATTTCTTTAAACCAAAAAGAATAGTTAAGAAGCAAAAGAATCATACATTATAGATGAGACTGGAAAACATCCACCCCTCCCTCCATCCATAGCCCTCACAACAAACCACTGAACATGCAGAGAAACTAATTACTATATTGATTTTAAAAAGTATGATACTTAAAAGTATGTCTGTCAGCAATGGCTATATATCTAGAAATAACAAGTGTTTTATAAATAATTACATACACAGCATTCTAGAAATTATACTAACAATAGAAGCTTATTTTACCATTTCACATCTACAAGCATTTAAAAAAAGTTTATGTGCTCTAATTTTAGGTGAAATATATTCAAATACATAACAGAAATGTCTGTACATCTAACAAGTTATGTTATAAAAACAAAGATCTGATCACATGTGCACAACTACCTAGTAACAACCCCACACACACCAAGTGAAAACAGGAGTGGTCTTGTAACACTCCTATTGGTAATATATTAATTTTTGCCATAGTTGTCCAATGTTAATAGATTTACTCTGTGTGTGTATGCATGCTGTGTGTGTGTGTGTGTGTGTGTGTATGTGTGGAGGGGGTATTTCTACATACCTAGGAAATTAAGATGTTATATAAGCCAGTGAAAGGCTTCCCTGCTCTGTTCTCAACACTTAACATCAAAAATTTATATCGAAATAAGAAATTATTCAAGTTTCTTATTTAAAAATATGAATGGCAATAATTCCTGTACTTTAACAAAAATGTCTAACTAAAAAAAATCTCAATAAAACAAAGGGAGAGAAAGAAAGAGGCAAACCAAGAAACAGACTCTTAACTATAAAAGAAACTGAGGGTTACCAGAGGGGAGGTGGGTGGGGACATAGATTAACCAAGTGATGGATATTAAGGAGTGCTCTTGTGATGAGTACTATGTGTTGTATGGAAGTGCCGAATCACTATATTGTACACCTGAAACTATTATTACACTGTATGTTAACTAACTGAAATTTAAATAAAACCTTAAAAAAAGACACAAAAATTAAAAAAAAAATCAAAATCAAGCCTAACTCATGAAGATGCTCACTCTATCTATACTCAATGTTTCCACCTTTAACGTTTCATATGAAAATATATTTCCAAAATTGATAGAAATTATATATCCAAGTGTTTTCTAAAATGACACTGTTCTATATCCAAAAAAATAATAATAATCTCCATCGCCAAATACATCCCAAATAGACATGGTATAGTGATTCAGCTTGCCAAAATAAAATGTTTTTACATTGTCTCTCAAATTGCTATTCAAAAAATACGTGCCTATCAGCAAATCCTATGCAGATGTTCTGAAACAAAAACTAACATTGGTCTATAACTTAAGTAGCAATCTAACAATATCATCAGCAACTAAAGCTCAAACTGAAACTCCCTGTATCATGAACCACAAAAGGACACAAAGAACAAACTAAAACCCAGTGATACTTATTGCCAACAGTGTTTCTTTGCTATGAATTTTAATAAACACTTATTTTATAGCCATGTATACAATACACCTGCGTGTATATATACAGGTGTACATGAAAGCGACCCCTATAAAATCAAGGATTAAAAGTTTAAAGCAAAAACTATTATATATCCTAACTATTTTACACAGAATGACCTAATCTGGTTTCTCTTCAGATCGCATAAATCTTTCTCGCCTTTTACACAGAACAATCTAACAAAATACCCTGAACTTCAGCAGCCCAATTATTTACTAAGAGATAATCCGACAACTGTTTTGGTAATTTTTCACTCTATACATAATTAATATATTTACAAAACATGCTGATATAATAGTTCCTTGGCTTTAAGAAAACATAATAACTGTGTCTATTATATACACATTATATAAAACATTTCTTGAATTAGCCCATCCTTTAGTAACCATAGGTTTGACAGACAATTTTGAACTACCTCCATAAAAACTTATAGTCACCTACACCTATACAATTAGATGTATTTTAAAACAAGAACAATTCAGTTATCATTAAATGTCAAATTCCACTGACATGAAAACTCTTCTAACCTGTTATGTTTAACCACATGTAGAATTTATCTAGTAACTGTATTTTGTTTGTATACAAACATCTGAAAACCATGAACAGAGGCAGACCAATAGTTACAATGACATTTCCACCATGATGAATCTTATATAAAACAATGAGAGATTATACTAGACACAACATATTTACCACAACCTAAAAATTGAGCCTAGAGATCTGATGAACATACACAGAGAGGCTAGATATATTATCACTTTTGGGAAATAAAAAAGTCTATCCTAATAAGGTGATACATATTTACAGTGATGCCTATCCATGTAGAGAATCTGATGTTAAACAACAACAAAAAAAGTTACATTATATATAACATTGTAACAGTATCTACTGAAAAGGAATTAATCTTGAGAGGCAATTCAACAATTCCACTGATTAAAACAATAACAAAAACCCACACCTGTTTAACATTACATTAATAAAATATATGTAGATTCCCAACATCTGAACATGGAGTAAAGCCTGGCTGTTCAAGAACTATCTCTGTACATATGCATACACATATAGTCCTCAAAAATTCCCTATTCTCCAACTTCTAAATTCTTTTATCTGTCTAATACAAACAAGGCCATCTAGAAACTCCTCTCAGTAACCAACAAAATTATATTCTGACAATTAAAATGCCCTAAATGTTGGCCATCACCATGCTTTATAAGATGTTTTAACACAGTACTTTTTTCTATTATATCCAGAGAAATAAAAAAGCACATCAAATCCTAGCCCAAACATGCACAGAGGCTGGCCTCTTATGCAGCAATTCCATCATGAGAATTATATCTCATACCATACAAATATTAACATAAATAACATTTACAGAGTAACATCTACATCCACATATAGCAGCCTTAACAAAATTTCTTATGTGACAACTGCACACAGAACAATCTCCAACCCCTCCAAAAAGCCACAGCAATAATCCAGTCAAATGATTTTAAATGTCCATCATTCAGAGGTAACTTCTATTTTCATAGTCACGTATTAAAAATATTTCTTCTGCATATGTTAGCAACGGCTTTCTTAGCAATCACAATGACTTACGGTCACAAAGCAGTTATATTTGGTTATTTCGTATACAATATTCTCAAAATGCACATAAATAACTAGTGCCTTACTTTCTTTCCTGATTAATACAGTAAACACTCCCCATGCCCATTTCCTCTTTACTATCCATAAGCACTCAAACAATAAATACAGAATTGAAGGTATCTTTACAAAATGGCCCATTCTTTTCTAAAATATTTTCCAGGATGCAGTTTTACCAAACATGTTTTTAGAAACTTCCCTACAAAACCAGCTCTATTATCACAGCAACCATTTTTAAAAGTATCTAAAAACAATAGATTTGTTTATAAATGTAGGCCTCTGTGCTTAAGCATTCGATTCCCAAAAAGATTAATAAAATACAATAAAAAACTATTACATGTTGAATTTCATTTTCTTCACCTCCAAACATCCAATGAACAGTTCATGCATATTCATCATTTACTGAGTATTTTATATTTCCATTTCAGTATCATTACCCAATCACAATTTTCTTACATATTTAAATAAATTCTTAAGCTATATATGTCCAGTAAATTAGTTAATAGATTAGGTTCCTAGCTGTTTTAAAATGGCAGGTAGGGGAAGAGGAAAAAAAAGAAAACTAATATTTGTGTTTACCACATAGGCAATAAATGTCACATATGCAGGGCTCTTACTGGTAAATATTTTGATGGCAAGTTGATAACTATAGAAAGAAAAATATTGAGACTTTTTTTTCCAAATGCAAAGACTGCCAATGAAATATAAATATTTGAAAGGAAGATGAATTTCAGGACAGTATATATCTCTATTTATTTTGTCAGTGATTTTTTGCAGTTGGTGAAGCTTCTAGATGAATTCAGGATGTGTTGTCCTTCCCCTTCTTTCCACATATTCCTAGAAGGCTGGCTTATATTTCCTTGAGATTGTCCACACTAGACCAATACTACAAGTGCCATCCACCTGAAATAATTTTCAATTCAGTAGATACCTTCACACACTTGCATTTTTGGGAATAATTTGGAATGAGGGATGCTGTGCTGATCATGTTGGTCAATGAAATAGAGTATAAGAGCTAGAGTGTCTCTACAGGAGGGTCCTGGTCAATGACCCCTTAAATCATCGTCAGGTTTAGACTTCTACAGCAGTCCGTAAGTCAAATTGCAAAGGATTCTCCAGAAGAATTTGAAAACTACAATTTTATCAATGCAGAGGCAATCAGGCTATCCTTTCCTGTTCATGTTAATGGAAAAAAGGTTTGCACATTATCCTGTATCATCCTGGATTTTAATCACATTTTTTCTTGCTGTACAAATTTCTCCAGATTCTTATCAGGAGCATCTTATTCAGGGGATAAAAGTAAAGGAACATCACAAAATTTATAAATCCAAATGTTCAGTGACTAGAAAACTTCCAGTTTTGTCAGTGGCAAAGATGCTCTACATATTATCAATTTATATAATCTTTGTCCTCTTCTCTGATTATTGCTTATTTCTAATGCTCTTGAAACATGTCAACTGCAGATTTTTGAAGCAACGTAACGAGGTTTGTCATATCTTTCCAAAAGACTGCTCTGGCAGACAGATGAAACAGAGAATCTGAAGCTAGAAGGGGACCAGTTAGAAGTTTTAATACAGTTAAAAGACAGCAATAACAACAAAACTAATGTAGAAAGGCAGCTCCAGAACAACCATCTAATGGAGTTTGTTGTACAGCATCTACTGTCCAATAAATTTTCTAAGTTTCTGGATGAAATACCTGTCCATGTTTCTTACGCTCCGTTCATGTCCATGAATGACAGCCACTTCCTGGCCTAGCTGGCATAGCCTCTTTACATCTATGTAAAACTGATAACTAAATGTGTCAATGATTTTTAAAGGATGCTTGTAAGTTATTTTTAGACATTTCACTTTACTTGGCTGTATTTTCTTCTTTGAATTATCTGTACATGTTTTTGTCATTTTGAATACAATTGTTCCAAGTCTGTTCTTTTAGAGTTGTACAGATGTTTATATACATTACAAAAAACAAGAAAATAAATAAACAATATATTTTGCCAACCTAAATAATGACACATTTTCATATCTTTTTATGGGGCCAAGTACTCTATTATCTACTGACAAGTAAACTGTCATAGATCCTAAACAATGCTCTCTTGATTTCTAAGGGATTTGCACAAAGGGCTAAGTTCAACTAAACACGTGCTTTTTTAAATATTTAAACATGGAAGATTTATTCTCCTGTGAGTTATCCTGAAACAGATAGAAATATCCAATAAGAGTAGACACCTTAAGGAACACCCTTTTCCCTTTCCATCAAGGCCCCAAATTAAAATTTGGCACTCTCTAAATGACAGAATGGGCAAGTTGACATCAAGATAATATCACTTAATTCTGTGCCCCCAGCAATGTGGCACAATAAAATGTCCATGTTTCATGACTCAAAAAATTACAAAGAATGAGAAATTTGAGCTTTAAATTGAAGCCAAGCTTTGCCTATACCATAAGGAAATTTGTTATGCCTTTTGTTCAGTTATGTATTGATTCCACCAATAACTGTGTTAACAATATACCAATATAACAAAAATTGCTAACTATCCAAACTCCTACTAGATTCCAATTATTAATGTTTTGTTCTCCCTAAAAAGGAAGAATAAGTCTATGCCTTCTTGTAACCATTTTTACAAATCTTCCATGTTAAAATCTTAGACATAGAAATATTCTTTGGTAAGTCAGGCCTTTTATGTATTGTTTCTCCATTGTGACTTCAGCAATCTTAGAGGAAGCCAATACTTCTATTGTTACTTTGATATCACTTAGGGCCATGATTCACTCAGTTGAGAAAACACCCCATCTGGGACACCTGGGTGGCTCAGTTGGGTAAGTGTCTGCCTTTGGCTCAGGTCATGATCCCAGTGTCCTGGGACTGAGTCCTGCATCGGGCTCTTTGCTCAGCAGGAAGCCTGCTTCTCCTTCTGCCTGTTTCTTCCCCTGCTTGTGCTCATTCTCTCTCTCTCTCTGTCTCTCTCTGACAAATAAATAAAATCTTTAAAAAAAAGAGAAAATACCCCATCTATCTAAAATACAAAGCCATTGTCCAAAAAAGCTCACTAGAGAAGGTAATAAAATATAAATTAAGAAAAATACAATGCCCCAAATGTTGTGTCATCCTTCAAAAACAAGAAAACCAGTTTCACTTCAATAACTTATTTTCAGAAATCATAAGTTACAATATTAAGAAATCCTCTGTAATTTATTTTACTCACTCGAAGCCACAGAAAAGAAGTCCCCTCATTTCAATTGTGGGTTCCTTATTTGCTATAGCATGGATGTGTGACTCTGATTTGAACTATACATTCTTCAGCACTTTCAATCCTGGAGAAATCCTAGGCTAATTTTCGTTGTTTCTAAGTAGAAGTAGACAGTGCATTGTAAGACTATGCCCATAAAGAAGCATCATTAAAAAACAGCATTAGATTTCAATAACCAAATAGAGCCACCGCAGTATTCACAGCCAAGCTGTAACACAGTGGTTGAAATTTCCCCAGAAAACAGACTCAATCCCAAACACAACACCCAGAAATCCTCTGGTATTGCCAGTTTCTGGCCTAATACTTAAAACGATCCAGAAGTGGATGCTTAAAATAAAACAAAACAAGGGCACCTGGCGCTCTTAATCACTAGAGTGTGTAACTCTTGATCCTCGGGATAATTATAAGTTTGAGCTTCATACTGGGTGTAGAGATTACTTAAAAATAAAATCTTAAAAAACACAAACATATGCCCAAATGCAAAGTAATTCAGGTAATGTTGTTTTATGACTAATAGAACAAAACCAGATAAACCTTGCCCCAAACATAGAATTGTTATGCAGAAATTACCATGTCCTGGAAATCACACTATTCACTGAGATCACATCTACTTTAAAAAAAAAAATTGTTTTTTTTATAAAATTTTTGTTTATTGGTCATTTTACTGAATGTGAACTTGGTGAAAATTTGTGTAGTTGATTCATTATCAGAAATAAATTGAAGTACATGATTTAAATATATGCTGGCATTTTGTTCTCTGAATAAAACCCAGTTTTTTTCAACATATGGTGCTGAAATCAGCATCTGTCAACTTCTCAGACCTAGACCTACTGCTGATCCAAAAACTCGCACTCAAACTGCACAAGCCCTCCTAGTGACTCTTTTATTTTTTTAAGATTTTATTTATTTATTTGAGAGAGAGTGAGCGAGAGAGAGAGAGAGCCCAAGCTGGGGAGAGGCAGAGGAAGCAGCAGACTCTGAGCAGGGAGCCTGACATGAGGCTTTATCCCAGGACCCTGGGATGATGTCTTGAGCAGAAGGCAGACACCTAAACAACTCTAGCTGCCCAGGTACCCCAACCTCCCAGTGACTCTTAAAGTGTACTAAAGTTGGAGAAAGCTTGATTTAATCTAAGTTGCCTAGAAATATACAACTCTACCCATTCCAGTAAACTGTATAATGAACAGCTATTTGATCAGCACATCTTACTAATCACTGTAATTTCAACAGAGGACATAATACTGCCTAGTCATCTCAAGAAAAGGCACATAGAATTTAACATTCCAAAGCTGGCTGAGACCCATACACTCAAGTTAACGAAAAAGGAGAGGGTAAATGGTAGTTAATTCTGACTCCTAACCTACCCTGACTGGTAAAATATTCAAACAGGGGAGCTTTCCTACTTCCAACAATTGAAAGAATCCTAACACTGCTCTCCATTTACAGGTCTCCATCACACTTCTACAACACAAAGGATATGCTATAATCACCTAAACCTTGTCTTTTTTCCTTCTTACCTTCCTTTCATTCAACACTGCTCTCACCACCTATTGCTAACTCATTCCTTCTAATACTCTCTCAACAAAGCACACCTATCATAAATTAGCTTGGCTGAACCCCACATTCTCTTTTAGGAATGAGCACTGTCATCAGGTTCAAGAAACAATGAGTCTGATCATCAAGCCACCCGCCCCCAAAAGAAAAATAAAAACTGAAAAACTAATCATCTTCCAGGGATTCCTATTATAGAGGATTTTCTTTAGATCACTTATAAAGAAGCAGCACCCCAAGAATGGGATTATCAGGGGGCGCCCAGGTGACACAATCCACTAAGAAGCCTACTCTTGGTTTCGGCTCAGGTCCTAAACTCAGGGTTGTAGGATTGAGCCCCACATCGGGCTCTGCACTCAGTGTGGAGTCTGCTTCAGATTCTCTCTCTCTCCCTACTGCTTGTGCTTGCTCTCTCTCTCAAATAAAGAAAAGAAAAGAAAAGAAAAGAGAAGAGAAGAGAAGAGAAGAAAGAGAAGAGAAGAGAAGAGAAGAGAAGAGAAGAGAAGAGAAAAGAAAAGAAAAGAAAAGAAAAGGAAAAAGAATGAGATTATTTGGACAGGGCTGAGCCAGCAAATACCACTGCATGCTTTCTCACGGTAATAATAACTGACCACCCCAGGCTGTACCAAACATCCAAGATCAAATGACTAAGTCAACAGACTCCAATGTGTATTTCCTTCCTTCCTTATCCAAATGTTACATTTCTAATTTAATTCAATTAGTAGAAAGGGTAGCTCATTTCTCTCAATTCATCCAGCATATCCCTATTTGTGAAGAATCAGGAACACTGAGAGAGGTCAAACAAATATGAGGTTATAAATATTCTAAAATTTCTATCAGGGACAAAGACTTAATAAGGGAAATAACTGTGAAAAGACTGACTCCCCTTGCTCCTTAAAAAAAAAAAAGGGGGAAGTAATTTTTCTGGACCTCAAAAGATTTCCCTATAAACTATCAGTTGTCATTTATCAATACCCACATTATTTATATACACACACACACCACACATACTCCTTAACAAATTAAGATAACTATTTAAGAATAAGATCCTGGTGGGGCGCCTGGGTGGCTCAGTTGGTTAAGAATAAGATCCTGGTGTATTCAACTATCCGTGGTACATTTCTATAGGTTTTTCCCTTATTACCTGTTTAATTACTATTCAACTCCCTCATAACTAAAATAAGCAAATCACAAGGACCTAATTGTAGAATGGCAATCACAGATAACAAAAGGTCCATTACTCATTCGAGTAAAGATAAATAATAAAGAATAATGGGAGATTAAAGTCCTGATTCAAAAGAAAATGCATGGTACTTAGCAAATTAGTTCCTCTCTAGGGCTCAATATTAACTGCAAAATGTCACTTTCATCCCCTTGAATCAGTAAAAACTTCTAAATCTCCATCTACAATTTGCTAAGATACAGAAAACAGTACCTTATTAACAGAATTCTAGTAATCCATCTGATGTATCTTTAGCATTCTGCTTAAGGTGTAACTCTCATTTCAGACCAAAGCAGTATCTCAACAATAAACTAGCTATTTCTTATTCATACGGGAATTGGAGCTGCCTCATAGTTTGGGGACATGCTCTTGGGAAACAGGTATAAGGCTGGACCTGAATGATGATAATTAATATTAAAAAAAAAAAAACCCAGCATAATAGCTACCAAGTCTTTACTCTCTTGAAATTATTACTTGAAATTCATAGTGAAAAAGACAGGTGAGATATACAAATGTTACAAACATAGAAGATACTCTTATAAGGAAACTTCAGTAGTGGAATTTAGAATTCACTTCCCTTTATCTCACTGGAAAAACCCACACTTCTATTCTCCATAATCTGCACAATATTTCTCCAAATAATGTGAAATTTACAGGTTAAGAACTTATGTTCGGAATACGTGTGTCCCAAGTACTTGGAATGACTCTTAGGCTGGACTTCAGAGTACTCACATTAAGCTTCACTTCTTCATGCTCTGTAATCATAACTCATCATAAACCCAGTTAAGGTCTTTCCCAACAACTACTACTGTAGTTGTAAAGCAAGTAATACCTACAGACAGTACATCTCTACTAATGCAAAGTCTTTTATCTTGGGAAAATGAATGATCATCTTCATTTAACAATGTAAGTTAAATGGCAGCAATATCATTCAACTTACACAAAATTAAGGTAACAATATGGGAAAAAAATTAAAGACAGTAAAACCGAAGCAATGTGACAGAATAACATTAAGATCTTTGGTGTCTTAGAACTAAATATAATAGTTTATAAACTACTTCTACAAGCAAATTATCCAACAAACTGTAAAATGAAATATTCAAGTATCTTAAGGACCTAGATAGATTACATTGAAAACATCCACCAAAATATTCCAGAGCTAAGTGAGAATCAATGTGAATGGTCAAATAAAATTAAGGAAAATCAAATAGATAAAACACAAAGTCCACTCCAGTAACCCTCAGTTTGTTTCCTGAGATTAAGAATTCCTGCTGGAGTGGTGGGGGGTGGGAGGCACAGGGTGGCTGGGTGATAGACATTGGGGAGGGTATGTGCTATGGTGAGCGCTGTGAATTGTGCAAGACTGTTGAATTACAGATCTGTACCTCTGAAACAAATAATACAATGTTAAAAAAAAAAAAAGGAGATGGCAGGAGGGGAAGAATGAAGGGAGGGAAATCGGAGGGGGAGACGAATCATGAGAGACTATGGACTCTGAAAAACAAACTGAGGGTTCTAGAGGGGAAGGGGTTGAATGATGGGTTAGCCTGATGATGGGTATTAAAGAGGGCACGTTCTGCATGGAGCACTGGGTGTTATACGCAAACCGTGAATCATGGAACACTACATCAAAAACTAATGATGTAATGTATGGTGATTAACATAACAATAAAAATTAAAAAAAAAGCAAAGTCCAACAACAAGTCCACTGATACACAGTGTTGAGGATTCTGAAGGAGGTCTAATATCTCTAATACAAAGAACCAAAGTGATATGATAATATAATCCAAATTATCATGGAAAGAATAGAGCAGGCACTACTTTTCCTAATATAGATCTCCTAATACACAATAAATTACTCCTATCAGGAACTGTACTTTTTAACTTTCTTTCTGTTAATAATAGCACAAATAAGGGGAGGTGGGGGGGGATGCGTGCACTTGTGATGCACCAGGTATTGTATGGAAGTGTTGAATCACAATATTGTATACTGGAATCTAGTATTACACTATATGTTAACCAAATATAATTTAAATAAAAATTTTACGATTTTATTTATTTATTTGACAGAGAGAGACATAGCGAGAGAGGGAATACAAGCAGGGGGAGTGAGAGATGGATAACCATGCTTCCTGCTGAGCAGGGAGACTGATGTGGGGCTCAATCCCAGGACCCTGGGATTTTGACCTGAGCCGAAGGCAGGGTGCTTAATGACTGAGCCACCCAAGGCACCCCTAAATAAAACTTTTTTTTAAATAAAGGGAAAAAAAGAAACTATATAGGGGTAAAAATAAATTTTATATAATATGGGAACAGATATTACCATTTAAATCGATGTGGATGGAATTGGAGGGTACTATGCTGAGTGAAATAAGTCAATCACAGAAAGACCATTATCATTTGGTTTCACTCATATGTGAAATATAAGGAACAGTGCAGAGGATCATAGGGGAAGGGAGGGAAACTGAATGGGAAGTTATCAAAGAAGGAGAAAAACCATGAGAGACTCATAGGTAATTAACTACATGAAACAAACTGGGGGTTGCTGGAGGGGAGATGGGCGGGGGGATGGGGTTATGGGCATTAAGGAGAGCATGTGATGTGATGAGCATTAGGTGTTATATATGGAACTGATGAAATTACTGAACTCTACATCTGAAACTAATGATGTACCTTGGGTTGTCTTATTGAATTTAAATTTAAAAATATGGGAACAGAAACCCCCATGATTTCAGATGTACATATATCTAACCTCTCTGGGTCATTGTGTTCTCATCAACTGTAAATCTAAGACAAATGATTCAAAATCATCAAACATCTGGCTGATCTATGAGGCTTTTCATTGAATCTTGGCTATGTCATCTAATTTTTAAGATTAATTTTGCTCACCAAAGAAAATTAACCCAGTCAAGTCTTCTCCTACTATTTCTATTCCACATTAGAACTTCCTAAATTATAGGCAAAAAACATGAGTTAACAACATGGATTCTGGAGCAAAACTGAGGTGATATTGAATGCAGAAGAAAAACTGGGACAATTTCTTCCAGTCTGCATCCTTGCCACCAGAAGATACCAGGGCCCAAATGGCACATCCCTTTTAGTACACAGAAAGTCCCTTGAGGTTTCCTCAACTATTATCTGAGAAGTTGAATGAGGTATACTGTAGCCAACACCCAGTTGCTCCCCTTCATGGTCTACTCACTTTTGGCAGAGATGGACTTGCTGCGTTAATACCTGAAGCCGTTAATCAACATTCACGTCTAGAACAAACACATTCTTGGAACTGGATTTCAAATACTGCTCTCTTATTGAGCCTTCATCATCTCACTTAAGCAAGAGAGATCCTCTCACCCCTGTAAAATCCAACAGAACTTTATTTCTACTTTTTGACCAAAAATGACTAAAAGGTATCCCCACAAACACATTGTAAACTTCATACCAAGGTACCTAGCTTCACTACAAGTACAGATAAACACCAAATAGTTCTCACTGGCTCCTATTTAGGAAGAGCTGACCACTTCCATGTTAAGAGTGTAGAGCTAGATTATTAGATAGGCATAGATTCTAATCAGACATACCACTACATGGGAGAAACTATAATAAATCTAAAAATTTGTGGGGCACCTGGGTGGCTCAGTCGGTTAGGCGTCTGCCTTCGGCTCAGGTCATGATCCCAGGGTCCTGGGATCAAGCCCTGCATCGGACTCCCTGCTCGGCGGGAAGCCTGCTTCTCCCTCTGCCTCTGTCATTCCCCTGCTTGTGTTCTCTCTTGCTCTCTCTCTCTCTCTGACAAATAAATGAACAAAATCTTAAAAAAAATCTAAAAGCTTGCACCCTAACATTTAGAAAAATTAGCAATGCTGACACATTTCTTAAACATCTACTCTGTGATAGAGTCTATGCCCATTGATCACTGCAGACAACTGAAGAAAAACAAAACCAAAAAAATTGTCCTCAAACACCAATGGTGTCCATGTAAAGACACTTACCATACTCACTGTATTTCATAATACATGTTCCACAAATATTAGTTCCCCTCTTTCCTGGACATCATCAGACACCTCCAACTCTGGCATTCAGTGTTTGATCAAAGAGGTAGTTGTCTCCTTTTACATGTCCTTACTTCCGTCTCAGCATATGTGTGTGCCTTCTGGGATCTAAGGAGGAGTTTCCTTTTTTGCTTTCAACAGCATATATGTTTAAAAAAAAAAAGGGAAAAATAATGAGCTCAGAATATCTTTTGAAAATTTAAAAAAGAAGACTTGGCAATGTATACGGCTACACCTGCCATTTCTAAGTATTCAAAGTTTTCACAGTAAGCCAAATTTTCTGTTGAAAATAATGTTCCCCGAAAAGTCTATTGAGGCACATTGACTGGATTTCAGAGTGTCATTTAAGCTCAAATTTTGAAATCATTATGTTCAGACAAGGTCCTTTGTCATCATGAACCTAGCCAAGGCCTCTATAATACACTATTACTTTTCTTTACAAGGTTATTTTACCTGGAGTGGTTTATGTTTGTCCTAAATGCAGCTAACACCGTTTTCAGCTTCCTTGCGATACTACTGGGTGGGATCCACAGTGACATGTCAGAAAATTGAGTTGTCAAATTCTCTCCTCCTTTCAGTTATCAACTATGTGGGCAAAAAAGACCTTCATAAGACTAAAAAAATTGCAACACAACAAAAATTATAAAATCTTGCTTTACTTATTTACTATAATTCAAATATTGAGCTTTATTTTATGAATGGCCAGTCCCAAGGGAACTAGAATGCAAAGATGAGTTAAGAATTTGGCAATGTATTATCAACTGGATAACATGTATTTGAAAACTTCATATAATGTCAGAGGCTGTAACTGACTACTTGCTGAAATCAATTAAGTTTTATTGGAAATAAACACAATAAATTGTTTTCCTTATCTCTGAAATCAGATTATGAAAATTCTAGACAAGCATTACTATTATCACATAATTCCATAAGTTACTTTCTACTACATTATTATTTTACTACAAGTTAAGACCTACAAGAAATAAAACATCAGTTCAGTTTACAAAAATTACAAGACTTTTGGGCAACCCCCTTGGGTTCCCTCCCTCCTTGGGAGCTTTGTACTATCACTTTGCTATCACTCAATAAACCTTGCACTGGGTGTTATACAAAAACAATGCATCTTGGATCACTACATCAAAAACTAATGATGGGGGCGCCTGGGTGGCTCAGTCGTTAAGCGTCTGCCTTCGGCTCAGGTCATGATCCTAGGGTCCTGGGATCGAGCCCCACATCGGGCTCTCTGCTCAGCGGGGAGTCTACTTCTCCCTCTCCCACTCCCCCTGCTTGTGTTCCCTCTCTCACTGTGTTTCTCTCTGTCAAATAAATAAATAAAATCTTTAAAAAAAAAAACAAAAACTAATGATGTATTGTATGGTGACTAACATAACATAATAAAATTAAATTAAATTAAATTAAAAAAAAAAAAACAAAAAACCTTGCTTTGCTGCACACCAGAAAAGAAAAAAAGAAAAGAAAAGGACTTCTGGTATCACCTGCATGGGAATCCTGAAAAAGTTAAACTCACTGAAACAGACTATAATGGTGGTTGCCTTGCACTGACGGGGTATGGAAAATGGGGAGATGCTTATCAAAGGGTATAGACTTTTTTTTTTTATTATGCTATGTTAATCACTATACATTACATCATTAGTTTCTTATGTAGTGTTCCATGATTCATTGTTTGCGTATAACACCCAGTGCTCCATGCAGTGCATGCCCTCTTTAATACCCATCACCAGGCTAACCCATTCTCCCACCCCTCTCCCCTCTAGAACCCTGTTTGTTTTTCAGAGTCCATCATCTCTCATGGTTCATCTCCCCCTCCAATTTCCCCCCCTTCATTCTTCCAAAGGGTATAGACTTTTAATTACAAGATGAGTTAAGTTTAAGGGATCTAATATACAGCATGGTGATTACAGTTAACAGTATTGTATTATAATATTTGAAATTTGCCAAGAGTAGATCTTAAATGTTCTCGCCACAAAAAAAAAAAAGGTAACTATATAAGGTGCTGGAGTGTTAACTAACCTTGTTGTAGTAATCTTTTCACAATATAGATGTATAGTAAATCATCATGTAACACATCTTAAAATTATACATTATTTATCAATTACATATTGATAAAGCTGAAAAATTACAGGACTTCTAAAATTTTACATGATTGAAGAGTAATGAGGTTATGAAGGCAGGAAGCTACATCACTTTTTACACACTTTTATACTAAGTCCCAGTTTACCTATCAGATCATATAAACACAAAATACCACAAAAAACTCAAAACCATAAAGATTTAAGGTAACATAACTATTAAATCCCAGAATTCTATTTGAAACTGTTATGTGAACCACAATGAGAAACCTATATTGGTGTGCAATGTGTACATATTCATGAAGTTACTGTTAATAAATATGACCAGGAAATCAAGATGTCATTGCCCAACTGTGCTTTAAATATAACGTGTAACTCATGTGAATGCAGAATGGGAAAAATCCTAAGGGAAAAGTATTTACTGCCATGAATGTTTGAAAACTCTTATGTTATTATGTGTTCACAATGGAACTCTGTAGAAGCTTCTATCTAGCAATCTATAACAAAAGATCCACATTCAACTTACACACCACATGCAATTATAGGAGTATCTGTGCCAAGTATTTTTTCAATATATGTTCCCACAATCAAGGTTAACAAACAATTCAAGGAAGTTCTAAGCAGAGAATATTACCACCAAATCAAAACACCCATTAGAAGTAAGCATCTTGCAGAATCTAGGGTTCTTGTCACATGCGAAAGTGGCGTTCAACTTTACTTAAGGAAATATGAGAGAACAGGTTTTCTTTGAATATGATGCACAACTGGGGTGCCTGGGTGGCTCAGTTGTTACACCTTCGGCTCAGGTCATGATCCCAGGGTTCTGGGATCAAGCCCAGCATCAGGCCCCCTGCTCAGTGGGAAGCCTACTTCTCCCTCTCCCATTTCCACTGCTTATGTTCCCTCTCTCGATGTCTCTCTCTGTCAAATAAATACATAAAATCTTAAAAAAAAATGATGCACAATCACTCATGCCAAAATCTAAGGACCATCCACATTAGCAGATCTATGCAAGTAGGAAAGTTTTCCTTTCAAAACAGGAAAAAGTACCATAAATTATTCAAAAGTAGGTCCAGAGAGCCAACTGCATATAAAACAAGGCTCTTTGCATACCACCCATACAATTTAGAGCAGAAGTTCTAAGTCATACATATCAGAGTCAATTTTATCTTAACAGAAATGCTTTGCCTTCAAAGATCCTGATAAAGTACTTTGCCTAGGGCTCTAGTAACCAAGAAGTTCCATTGTAACATTCACAATCTCTAAAATAAGTATCACATCTCTCTTATACAAACCAACTAAACCAAGGAGGACCTGGCTACTTTATGTTCCCTTCCTGATAGTGGCCATCAAGACTAAATACTACTTTGGGAGAGACCATATAAATTTGGTGACAACAACTGCAGTAATTTTGAGGGTCCCTTTTCCTTGGGAGACTATTAGTTGAAAGGTCATGCTTTAAAAGATGGAAATTGAAGGGGTACCTAGCTGGCTCACTCAGTAGAGCATATGACTCTTAGTCTCAGGGCTGTGATATGGAGCTCTACTTTGGATAGAGATTATTTAAAAATAAAATCTTTTTAAAAATTAAAAATAAAAAATACAAGATGGAAATGGTGATATACACACAACCTTTATTTGGTAAAATCAAAGAAGGCGGCACAATCTACCAGTCTGAAGTTACTAAGGAGTTAAAACCAATCTTCAACTCCTATTTTATAAACTACTCTTTCAATCAATAAATATTGATTGATTGCCCAGTTGAAAGCTTAGCAGTGAAATCTAAAAAAACTCTTCCCTCTTCCTTTTAAAAGTGAGTTCATCACTATTGCATGACCAACTCAAACTGGACCTAGATATTTGGGCATCTGGAAGAGATTGTCCACTCCTCTAAACACTTTCAGTACATCACTAAGTGATGCAACTGGATAATTTGTACTCAAGAGTATCAACTACATTTTAGGGTATAAGTTACCTGTATTTTAAGTAACACAACTTACCCAAATATAAAATCTCCCTGGCTCCCAGTACCCAGGTTCTTCCATTAATTTAAAAATTTATAAGGAAATACTTACTGGTAGGTAGTGATGATTATTCCAGGATCATATCATCTATTCTGATCACACAAGTCACAAGGGCACTGTAGAAGCTCATCAACTGAGATAATCTTCCATGAAAAGGAGTATCTCCAATCCCAAATGCTTTGATTTAATGAGCAAAGTCTGATTCAGTACCACAGTTTCCTTCCATAGGTGGCCTTACAAGGCCTTTCATCCCATCCTTTCTTCCCTTCAGGTATGTATGAAAGAGGAAGATGCCATATGTGAGGCTTAGCTTAGCCACTTAACCTCCTGGTTAAGGGTTTTCTTTTGTGTTAAGGTTATGGACTGATACCACTCAATGCACAAACTGAAAATTAGGAAGCTTAATCAGGTATCACAACCATTTTATCTTAAGAATTAAAGAGAAAATTATTTAAATGCATTGCTTATCAGAATTCACCTAGTCCATAATAACTTCAAGACCAGAAAAATCCCAGTCTTCACTTTGATCTCAATAAAATCAACAGGCAAAAAAATGTACAACATACAACAGTACCTCGCAGTTTAATTGCTCTGTGCATTTATTAGCTAATATTAATGCAGCAAGGAGGAAACAATAGCTCACAAACACTCTACACAATTTCACAAGACACATTGCAGGGAAAAAAGTGACTTAGGAAGGATCAACAGTATCCTAGGGTCTTGGTGGACGCATTCCTGGGGGAGGTGGACCTGGGGGGGAAAAAAAAAAGCAAAATTCCATGGGACCATTAGAAAAACATCACGTAAGTATTAAGGGGCCCAGCTGGCACCACTGCACGAAAGTGTAGCCACTCACCTCTAATTCCTGGTGGAGGGGGTCTCATTCCTGGAGGGGGCATGCCTATTGGCGTCCCTCGAGCAGGGGGAAGCCCAATTGGTGGGCCCATGGGTGGTCTCATACCAGGTGGAGGAGCCATAATGCCTAAAGAAAAACGGCAGAAAGAAAGTCCTCATAAATAAGCTCAGCTAAGATGACAGAATAAAATACAAGATAATATTTAAAGAAATGGGCCCAGATACTAAGTAGAGAGTCGAACATTTTTTCCTGGACCCTTACCATGTAAGCCATCCCCAACAATAGAGTCCACAGCTTTTCATTAAAAACTACTGTTTAAAAGTGGGAAACATAATCTAAGCAACTAGTTAGGTACTTAGGCTGTTCCTTAGTTCAGTGTCTTCTTAAGAGTATTGTTAGTCCTCACTTCCTCCAGATAAAGTATTTTTTCACATAACTATATATATATATATATATATATATATATATATATATATATATATATGCGCCAAATTCTCTTACTTCTCTCTAATTTCCTTACCGGGAGGTGGTGTTGCTCGGCCCACAGGAGTGGGTGGGGTCCCCCGTCCTGGTGGGTACTGAGTTGGGGCTCCAGCAATGCTGGCAGTGGCAGCAACTGCAGCAGCCGCTACAGTGCCTCTTCCCTGTGGAGTCATTACCTGAGAAGGCACGGTCAGATACAGTCAAGGTAAGGCACATCCTCTCCTTGTTCAAACACAAAATAATTGGTGGATACCATGGCCTATTAAATGTGAAATAATTATAGCAATTTTGTATTTCTCCCATTATTTTCATTTTAAAAATCTTGGCACACTAATACATCCTCCTAAAACCCTACATTCCCTTTTTTAACCTATTAAGTCCTTTCACATTTTCTCAACTCTGGTTTACCCATCCGTATTTCTCCTTACTCACCAATAGTGGTGAGTTCCTCTTATCACGATGGCTCTAATCCTTTCCCCTCCTAATGTGTATTTGTCTTTCAGCACCCTCTGTAACATGCTGCTTACAGAGCACAGGATGTGCACTCAGGCTTTTAAACCTATTCAGCCTCTAGGCACTTTCTCTCGGTAATATAAAACCTTCTAGTTCCTCACCTGTTGGGATGGCCCCCCAACCCCTCGGACAGGGCCTGCTAATCCAGCAGGAGCTTGGGGAATTGGAACACCAGCTGGCACTCCTCTACCAGCTGCCCTGCCAACCCCAGGACCTCCTGCAGCTCCAGCAAGTGGTACCCGAGCAATGCCAGTCTGAAACAAGAAAAATTATTTGAAATCAAATGACTTACCAACATTATGAATAGTCTTATTCCTAAAAGATCACTCTTCCCACTATCTTCCCACACCACCTAGCTTGTATTAATTCTATACTCAAAGGAATAGACAAGTACGCCATGGAGGCATTCAACAGATTAAATGTACATATGTCAAATTTTGAGGAAATATAAATAACCACTCCCACCCTTCTCTAGGTAGTCCCCAGCACATAGAATAATACATCATAAAGTCCTTAATCACCAAATATGGACAAGTCAGCACTGACATTAAGTGCTGGGCACATTTTACTTGACAAATGTATACTATTATTGTGCCTCTTTGTACCCTCATTTAGCAAACATCTCAAATAATGTGATGTCTTCCACATTACTATTCTGTCCTACCCTACAGCTTCCTTACATCTTTGGGGGGTGGTCCTTCCACAGTCATGGAAACCAAGTTCTCCCCACGTAGTAACACCAGACCCAAAACCCGCTTTTCTTCACGCTCTGGCTGCTTCGCATTCTTTGGCCTATAAATCAAAAGTAAACTTTGTTAAGATAAGTTAGCGATCACTCACTAAAATTTACAGTTAGGTATCAACTAAGACAATAACTGATGGAAGACAATAATTGATGGAAGATATTCATGCTAAGTTATGACAAAACAAAGACAAAATACAAAAACACTAGACTCACTGACATATAAGGGTAAATGGTAAAGCCCTTTTCCTATCAAAATTTTCCAGAATGTTTCTCAGTGTTATATTTCAGCAAGATTAATTTCTTCTTTGTTAAACAGAGATGCAAATTATGTGGCTAAAACTTTTAAGACAAGTAAACTGAAATGTGTTTTCATGTTTACATGGGAAGTAAGTTTTTTAAAATTATTTTTTAAGTAAATCTGGATGACAGACAGCTAAAATAGTAACAGTTAACAGGCAATGATGTCATACCAAATGATAAAGAAAAAAATAAGGCTTTGAGTAAGAGATGCCTATGCATTTCTGGCCTTACCACTTATTATATAACCATGGGGAATTAAAAACAAATTGAAAAAAAAAAGAAGAGAAACCTTGTGTAGAGTCACAACTGTCAGCAGCAAAAATCATACATTCATAAGGCATATACTACATAATGCAGGTAAAAGCAACTGACAGTGCCATTCAACAATCCTCACTAAGTATTATCAGAGAATAATGTGCAGCTTAAAGCATTATGCATGTGAAATTATCCCTATAACTTAGTGAGAAAAGTGAAACAGAAATTAGTATGCCTAAAACTCTCAAATACCTTTAGAATTTTCACTATCATAGGGATTCTTGTATTTTAGGGGAAAATTCTGGATTATTTACACTCACAAAAAAAATAACACTGAAACATCCACCGTCCTAGAATATCTGAAATAATCCTGCTTGGTGTGCGGGGAGGAGACTGAGAATACATGAAAAGGGAAAGATGAGGAATGTTTTTTGCCTGAGAGGAACAGACTTAAGAGTACAGCAGACAACTGGTGCTGAGCATCGCCTTTTTCTTCGTATTTAATAAAACCTATGTGAAGTAGGCAAATTAAACGTCTGTACAGTTTATCACTGACTGTGGAAATAAAGTAAATCAAGCCAAGAATCCAGGGTAATGCCTCTCAAGTTCTGCCCCATGATAAAAGCCTGAAACAAAGCCATCTTGAATGTCCAGAGATGATATTACAAGCACCAACTCAACTGCTCTGAATGATAAGTCAACTGGGTGGAAGTAGGATGCCACTAAAATCCACCAATTTCTGTGATCTTATTGCAGATGGTCAACAGTTCCCTGAGAAAGGAAGCTCCCTGGTCACAGGTATAAACCGGGTAGCCTCATGTGGTAAGGCACAAACATAAAGGTTATTCCTGAAGAAATGAAATGGGCAAATCACAAATACAATAAGCAAAGAGGGTTAAGAATGGACACCAAATCAACACTGCACATGATGATTTAGACAAAACAAGGACCATGCAAAGAGGCTAGCAGAACAAATGTTAAAACTAGCCTGGCATATTCTAATATCCTAACTCCTCAACCATTAAGAACAAATTGTTATTCTTACAATTCCTTCAGTCTGAAGAAATGCTACAGAACCTAACCTATCAATAACATTTCATAACTTTTTAAATAAATATAACTTGATACTCTGCTCATACTGTAAGTTCTTTCCAAATTAAGTTCATGAGTATGTTTGCAAACTTAAAACAGTAGTGTAAATACACTGACTTTAAGACGGGGAGACTCTGATCCAATTCAGTGATGGTTTAGGTTAGACAACAGATTAGCCCTGCCACATTTTCCCTCCCTCCTTATCAGTTATCCTCTATCATCCCTTACTCCTATTACCCTCTCCCTCTGTCTCTCACTGTCCAAACCCAAAGTGGTCTTACTTGATCTTTCTGAATTCATCACAATCACAGAGGATCAAGTTCATATGCTTGTCAAAAGCCTTAAAGGTGCCAATGAAGATTCGGCCATCTTGCAAGATACATCTCATTCTATAGTCAATGTGCTGCAGCATCTTGCTGCTCTTTCCCACAGTCTGAAAGGAGTAAGAAAAGTTGTCACTCATCAGCTTGTCTCTCCACCATGTCTTCCCTATTTCTGCATCAATCCAAACTTGGTTTCCTTAACACATCTTCCTTCACATGTTTTCTCCAAAAATCCCTTCAGTCTCAAGATGCTGGACCAAATTTAGGCCCAGGACTACTATACTCCTCTGTGGAACCCTCTACTTCTCAGAATGTCTCCCTATGCAGTTTCCCATCATCCTAACTATATTTCCCTAACTGTATTTCTTCCCCAACAGATTCACAAACCTAGTTTCATGTTAGTATTCTATCATTCTAATTCCTCTCCTTTCCCAATTTTAATCCCAAATCCCACCATCATTTAGAACACTCGACCCCATGGCCTATTTCTTTTCCCCTAGACACGTACCCAAACAGTGGGAAATTCCTACCTCCATCAGAAACTCTCTAATTCCCATCAACCCAATGCAAACTACTATTTAGTTCCCCAAAGACCTTTATCCTAGTTATATCACACCCCACATCCCCTCCCATTCAGAACTTGGATCGGTGTTTCTCAAACTTTCTTCAGTTTCATTTATCCTACTAAGTCACCTTTTAAAAATATTTTTATCCTAAATCACCCACTCCACTGAAAGTTTAATATGTTGATAAATCTGCATCTCTATTTATATACTGTAGTCCTCAGGAAGACCACAAGTTATTGTAAAATCTAATATTCCTTCCACTTCTCCAAATCAATTTTTGCTGCTTTGAGGTATCTTTCCTGTTGGGAATACATGCTGTAAGTCATTTAAACTTTAACAGAACCACAAAACCGAGTAGTATATTTTATCTCTACAGACTGTTTATTATTGTATACTTCTCATGCCGTGAATTGCTAAACCCCTCCATTTTTAATGTAGACTTTATGTCTATTATAACCTGAGTCTTCCATCTACTAGATTGTCACTTACTATTGTAAATCAAAATGAAAATTCTCTTCTGTATTTTCTCACATATAAGATCCCTCTTAAGATATTTTCAACCATTTAATCACTACAGTAGAACAACAGACATAGCTCCCCTTCAGCTGATACATCATACAATGAGATACCATCTCTAAAGATTGATTCCTTATTTCTAACATTAAGAACCCAAAGACACCCCACACTCTGGTAAACCATTATATTAGGTCCTTCCAGTAGCTTTTCACCCTTCTGTCTTAATATACATCTTACCATGGTTGCTGTTCCACCAAATCCAATGTCCACAGTAAGGTTTCAGGATCCTTAAGACCTAAGGGAAGGCTACAGATAAAGGTATGACGCAGGTTCTCCTATAAACAATGCAAGCTTGGGGCAGAAGCTTCAAACAGTAGATGGAGCCTGCAGAGGAAAGCATGATCTAGCTGCACTGCAATCTACCATGTTTAAAAACAGGCAGACAATTTTTTATGAAAATCATTTTAACAGACATGTTCAAAAGATTCCCATGTTCTTATACCCACCAAGTGAACACCAAATTTCACTATTCCCTCACCTTAATTCCCCCATTTTATGCACTTAAAATTGACAAAGTTTATTAAATTTTTGCTTTATGCAGAAATTTTTAAATGTTTCAAAAATTGCTTTTATTTTCCATTCCAAAAACTGATCTTTTTTCTTTCCATTCTTATTTTAGGTAGTGCTTCATTCTCTGGTCCCAAGTCAACACCGTTTCATTGCAATTTCAACATTTTGATATCCTTATGTTTAGCCATCTGAATTACTGTCCTGAGGTAGGTTAAAACTTTTGCTTCCTAGTTAAACCACCTAAATGTTTTCAACCTCAATCTCCCCCGACTCCTCAACCCTGCCAAAAGCATTTCAAAATAATGCTAGATTATCTTTCTTTACCAAGAACCAAATGCATTACCATGTACCTGCTTATGACTTCCTACATTAAAATAGGATACAACTAAATTGTACATTTTTTCTTACAGCTCTGATTCTGTAATAATTTGAAAAGTAAACACACAAATTAGACTTGAATGGGAATTTGGCTTTATGCATAAATATAGACCCATATCATAAACAAAATCTGATATAATTTTACTTTTAACAATACAGACATTAAAATTGCTCTCTGTTTTCAACAGAAACGCTTTTCAAACAGCAATGTACACTGGTTAAGTAAATTATGAATTATTTATTTCAGGATGTGAAAATAAAATCATTTAAATTGTGGGTGTGAACTGTAACATCAAAACAATATTGTAAAAGAATGTTTTGAGGATACAGTTTTCCGTGTGCAACTACAGGATACTAAATAAGGAGGAAACAGAATAGTATGAAAGAAATAATTCAGTTAAGGGTGGCAAGATGTAGATGTTGCCCCATAATTATAAAAATCCGATGGCTGTTAAATGCATTTTATGAGAATTTGGAGTATCAGATCGTCTAAAAAGATAAATTCATCATTACTCAGAATATCTCTTAAACTTTTTTCTCCAAATGCAAATTGCCATGCACCATTTGTGCCTTTTTTCTGAAAGACAATCTACCTATATCCTCAACACTGTCCATATTTCTCTAACATTTATCTTTTAAAAAAAAATTACTTATTTGAGAGAGAGAGATCACACAAGCAGGCGGATGGGAGTAGGGCAAAGGGAAAATCAGACTCCCCACTGAGCAGGGAGCCTGATGTGGGGCTGAACCAAAGTCAGATGCTCAACAGACTGAGCCACCCAGGAGCCCATCCAGCATTTATCTTAACTGACTATAATATCTATACACTTGTTTCTTCTCTCATCTACCTAATTTACGTCTTTAAAGATACAATGACATCAGGGATAACCCCCCTTCTGTAGCATCCAATATTTGTACATGAATTAATGTTTTGCATAAAACTGACATGTAAAGATCTCAAAAGATCTATTATTCAAATCAGCAGACTAATGTGCCCAACCCTCCCCAAATAAATGTAGTTTTTTTTTATTTGAATTCAATTAGCCAACATATGAGTAGTTTAAGGCCTATAATATAGATGTTCTTAATTCTGACAGGATTACTTTTGAAGCTGTCTAAATCCTACACTTGTTTATTTTTAAAGTAGCAATTTTCATTTTTTAGCAATTTTTATAACATTGTATCTATGAAGATATAAAGTCTTTAGCAATCCATTGTTAACAGAAAGTAAATTATCTACAGAAATAGAAAAAATACACATAGAAACAGAAAGTAAATTAAATGGTAACCTGAAGTTGGGAGTGGAAACAGGGAATGTATGTAAATGAGCATGAAGGATCTTACTTTGGTAATGCAGCATCCTTAAAGTACCTGACAATGATTGCAAAAGTCAGTATATTTATGAAAAAATTAGGTGCATTTTATGGTATATAAACTATAAATCAAAAAAGCTGTTTTTAAAATGTAAAATGTCAAGACCTTCACATAATGTACAAAGTTTGTAACATTACTTTTTATATCGCCATTAGTGAAAAAAAATAAAAACAAAAACAAAGAATGCTAACCATTCAACAAAACACTATTACTGGAGTACACACCCTCTACCATCAACAATGGAGACGTACTACCAGACACTGCAATGCAAGACCATGATTATTAGAACAAAAGAAAAAAACAGTAGGGCTAGATTTCAAGAGTTCATTTAAGGGAAAAAAAAATGTAATCACAAGAAGTTTCTTATGTAAGGATGTAATGGAACCCAGCATCAAATGTGCATTTACAGTGAATTTGTAGTCAGTCACCTTTCCAATAAAAATTTAAAATTCAGAAACAAAATTTCACCTTCAGATGCCAAAAAGATTCGAGTACAGATTTCCCTATCAGCTTCAGTTTAAATGTTCTGTCCCAACTGGCATTTCAGTGAACACATAACTATCAGGCTTAATTCATAGTTTAACTTAAAGAAACCAACAAATCCAAACATTTCCTTTGTATAGTGGAAGAGTAAAAAGGAAAGGCCAGTCGCAGTCCTGTTTCTGTCCATCACCTAACCTGCTGAGTTTATAAACCCCTTCCACATCTACTAGATGTTGTTAACCAGTTATCAAGTATAAAAATGTACCTGCAGATGTGAGTCATAACCTAAAGAACAGGAGACCTAAAGAACTGGGAACACAGACGTGTAATATAATATAAAATATTCTATATAAATAAGAGATATACATTTTACTCACAACTCAGAATAGGGGTTGACTGAAGTGGTTAAGGAAAGACTCTCCTTAACGAATAGGACCTAAGATTTAGAAAGTTATCTCTTATTCCTAAATTTAGTACACCACAATCATGAACGCTTATAAGGGAAAGGATGTTTCACTTTGGAGATTGATCAAATTTATCTCCATAGCAAATGACATCAACATGCTTCATGAAGAAGAGCGTAAGAGCACAACATCACATTGCACTGATGAATTAGCAGTTATGATAAATCTCCTTACATCAAAAAGCAAAAGCAAATAAATGGCCCCCTGACTCAAACATCCTGAGATTCCTCACAAAAGAAGTTCTTAAACTTTTGGAAAGTCTGGACTTTCAAATGATTAAACTTTATAAAAATTTAAGTGAAAAGATAAGATGGTCAAACTTGTCCAAGATACATACAACAAATGAGAAATCATATAATAATGGTAATGCATTAGTGCTCACTCAAATCTGGTAAAATATCACACCCTTCACAGAAAATGTGCAAAAAAGTTTAACAAGTGAAAGGAGAAAACACAATAAATGGAAAAAAGTATTCATCCACAAAGCAATGCCAATTAAAACCACACACACACAAAAAAAAACAATTTTCTATTTTTGGAACTGTTTATTTATCAAAGAAAAAGACACACAAAGATGGTACTGAGAAACTAACACTAGTAGTAATTATTCTTGATGGCAAACAATGCTTATGATGCTGTCAGAAAGCAATGTAACAAAACATTTAAGAGTCATACTAATGTGTATACCCTACAGTCCACAATGGGATCCTTATCCTAATAAATTTAAGATACCAAATATATCTTTTAAATATAGAATTTATAAAAGCATAGCAAACTAGAAAAAAACAAGTACAAGGAAATGTAAATCATGAATAAACTATCATTTATTCATTAGATTATCATTATGATGACTAATAAAATGAGGAAGTAGTGATATACATTTAAGTGAAATAAATACAAAATAAATTCATTTAAAAGCATGATTCCAACTTAAAAAAAGCAAATGGGGAAAATGAAAGAAAATTCAACCTTATGCTGTGGCTGAAACATGGGTTTTAAAATCTTTGGTTTAACTCCCCATTTTTCTTGTCTATCACTTAGAAGCTTTAGATTTTTATTGTAAAAAAGGAAACATACCAATTGTTAAAATGTCTTTAAAAACTACCCATCTACATTTATTCTTTAGACATGATTCTTAGACTTGACCCTTATCCCAGAAATTTATCTGGTCCCCTACCCTGTAATGTTCACTTTCATATAACTTCCTTTATAACCCCTTTCTCTTCACTACCTTCTATAGTATCACCAGTCCCCCACTGTCCCAACTTGGTGTTTTCATCTTCCAATGTGATTCTATAGGAAAGATGCCAGAGAACTTTCTTTTAAGGAAGAAGATATATTATATTTCAAGCTTTACCTGCCATTCAATCTGTCACAACTACTCCAATCTGCTGCTGTAGTGACAAATACAGCCACAGACCACACACAAACGAAAGGACATGGCTGTGTGCCAATAAAATTTTCTTTAGGAAAAGTGAGTAGGTCAGATACTTTACTAACCCCTGCTCTAAAATAATCCTAGTAACAAGTGCTGTTTAACTAGCACTTGAAACTAAAATAAAAAATACTATCAGAAAACCAGATGATCCTATATGAAGATCATAATGTATGACTTAAATATTATATGGGTGCTTGGCTGGCTCAGTTGGTAGAGCATGTGACTCTTGATCATAAGCCCCAGGTAAATAAGTAAATAATTATACTTAGGAACTTACAAGAGTATATGAACTACACTGAAGAGCCAAAAAACTCCTGGTTAAAAAAAAAAATCTGCTTTTCTCACTTAATCATTTAAAAATGGCCTTACTCTGGGGAACAGCTGGGGACAAAGATCAGATTCCACTGTCTGAAATCAATGCCACTGCCCTGCAATCAGCTCCAGGTAATTACTGGAGAATGCTGAATAAAGGATGCAGCAGGGGAGAATTCTCAGATAATCTGTTTTGTATCTTTTAATTTAAAACTCAAAATAGTGGCTATAAACAGGCCTAATTAATGTGAGTTGAGAGGTAATACACCAAAACAGAAATAAAGAAAATCTAGAACAAAACTCATCAATAGGCTCCTGTCTCCTAGTTTCTAAAAAGTATATTAAACCCTTTGCATTACAGACATTCAAATATTAAAATTTTAAAAAGGTCACATAAAACATTAAAAGACAGACTGTAAATAAATCTACATCACATTGAAAAAATCATGGATAATATTTTTATTACATTGTCAGCTGAATCAAATACATTGATACATTGTCAGCTGATTCAAATACGTTGATGAAAACAAAAAAGTGAAAAAAGACAAAACAAAAAAAGCAATAATTAGTAAATATGCATGGAAAATTATTTAGCTTATTTGGTTATGAATGTGATGTGTATTTATAATTCAGTAGGCACAAATGATACGTAATTAAAACAACCAATGCAGGTAAAAGTGTATCGTAACTGGCATTCCATTTTTTTCCCATTATATATTCAGGGTAATGGAGACTAATACTTTGAAATATAATTTAGAAAATGTACCTAAGCTAATATTTCTGACTCAGTTTATTTTCACATCTTCATATCTGAGTAAATGATCCTATCTAATATGTTATGCTTGGCAGTTCACTGAAGCTTTATTGAAACTACCAGGAAAAAGATGAAGTTTCTCACAAAAGGTAATTACAAAACATTCATTAGCAGGATATTCAGCATCCATTTATAATGTAGTATGTTTATATAATATTAATTGGAAAACCAATAGAAATTAGATACAAATAAACTACCTAAAAAGCATGCACTAAAATGACTGGGAAACTAAGTGTCGGGTTAAGACCAAGGTCCTATTGCTTGCTTTTACTTCTTTAATCTTTCTGCAATGTGATTATATGAATTTTTTTATTTAAATTCAATTATGAAATTTTTAAGAAAAAAATGTATTTTAACATATCTCAAGTAATTAAGTGACCTCCAAACACACTATTTATTTATTCCTAACCATGACTCAATCAGTTCTAACCTGTTTTTTCACTTGGAAATCAGCTACCTGGATGTTCCAATACTGCTTTAACCACCTCTTGGTGTCTCAGCTAAGAATGCCTGTCTCAGTTCCGCCTGGAAATCCACCACAGGTATTTGCTGCTGCTGAGATCGCCTTGGGTACAGCTGACACCTATGACAAGAGCACAATATGTAAAAATGAATATAAATGAGAAGAGATTTTCCTATATGGGTAACAATATGAAAGAAAATGTGTAGACCCTTACATTTAAGGAGAGACTCAATTAGGATCAGAGCTTCCCATTACCTTGTGAAGAGAATGGAAGAAGAAATAGGAGTCTCTGTACACAGAATGTGCAAGGAACAGAAGGATACTTACTACTTTAGCGATACTACCCAAGAAACTTTAAAATAAAAAAAAAATTCTTTTGTTTTAAAAAGCCCTGTGGAAAAACCATCAGAACCATATGCATTACTCACTTTCCAATCTTACCTGGAAACAATTCTTTAACCCTTAGCAAGAAGAGGGAGGCATTTGCTAAGGCCATTTCCATCAAGATATTAAGGCTGTTATCCATAGTAAATACTCCAGGGAGTAACCACCTGAAACAAGGAACTACCAGAGCCCAGAATTTTAGGCTCTCAAACTATATAAACTGACTACCTATTAGTTGGAAGGGAATTCCAGACAAAAGTCCTCAGTATATCCGTATGGATCAGTAATCTGGCTGTGAATCTGATTCTGTAAATTATGATGTAGGAAATGTTACTGGCTAACAAGACAAGCATTAAAAAAAAAAAAAAATCGCCAGCAATTCAGCCCTTGTTAAGTGTGTGTATGTGTGCCTATATATACACACATACATGTCTATTTATGAAACTACTCAATAGCAGATTTGGAAATGGGCCTGAAAAAAAGATATTCCACTATTTTTCTACAGTTTTTAAATGGCATTTTTAACATTCTGTTAAATAAAAAGAATTAGGTTGGAATTTCTCCATGGCTCATGGAAGGTAACCTCTAAATTCTCAAATTTACCAAGTGATAGCAGTATCTTCATTATTCTTGGTGGCCTCTTGGATCATACCTGAGTTAACACTAATACGATTATTCAGGACAGGGGCTGGCCAAGCCACAAAGACCAACTATGTGATTAGAGTGTGGGGCCCGTGGTCAACCACATGGTCAATGATTCAATCATGTTTAAATAATGAAACTCTAATAAAAACTCTAGAAGGCAGGGTGCCTGGGTGGCTCAGTTGGTTGAGCGTCTGCCATCAGCTCAAGTCATGATCCTGGGGTCCTGGGATCTAACCCCATGCTGGGCTCCTGGCTCAGCAGGGAGTCTGCTTCTCCCTCTGCCTCTCCCTCCCCCCTGCTCATGCTCTCTCTCTCTCTCTAATAAATAAATGAAGTATTAAAAAAAAAAAAAAACTCTAGAAAGCACCCAAAGTTCTGGTGAGCTTCCTGTTTGGCGATATACATACATTGATGAGCTGAGAGTTTGGCGATATACATACATTGATGAGCTGAGAGTATTACAACCTAAGGACATGAAGTTATGGATCTTGTCCTATAAGTCTCTACATTTGACTTATCCTGACCTGTATCCCCTATAGTAAACTTAATAGTAAGTGTAGTGCTTTTCTTGAGTGCTGTGAAAATTATGGAACCTGAGGAAATAGTGGAAACCTTGAATCTCTATCCAGATGCTGAGAAGTGCAGGTGGCCTAGAAACTCTGGGGCTTGCAGTTGGTATCTGTTTTGAGGGTAATCTTAGGAGGGACTCTACCCTTAACATGTCAAAACTGCACTAACTCCATTAAGAGTCTTCATTACATTGCTCATGCTTTTTAAATTGTCCCATTTTTATTTAGGTATTCTTAGTTCCAATCCTTTATTACCAAATGGCAACTAAGAGTCTGACCTAATATGGTTCTAAAAGTGTTTCAGAGAAAACAAAAATATATTCCTTGGCCCTCTTAAACTCCTACTGGAGTGTTCCTCTTGGGTTTAACCTGAAACCCAGCTGCATACTAAACTAAAACTGGAGAAAATAAAATGCAGTACATGTAATATTCAGTTCATAAAATGCAGAACATAATTTAGAAAGACATATAAAAGGGTGCATAAAATAGATTCTCCAGAAGACTCTCCAGCCCCAATCTCCAAATTCTCTCAAATTTACAATGCATCAAGAAACAAGAAAGACATTCACCAGCCCCAAAGATCAAAAACTGATTTACTTGATAGATCTATCAGAAGATGGTATAACCATCAATTCCAAGAATAAAAACCAATGAGCTTCTATTAACAATCACTGTTGGTCTGTGAGAGGTTTCATCTGCATCGTTTTGGTTTTTATTCAATTTTGTTTTGTATCTTGGATGGAACATGAATAGCAAATCTTTATTAGCATTAGAACCAGTACCACACAATTTCTCAGGAATACTGACTTTTAGCACTTATGGTTTGGGAAAATGTGGGATATTGATGGATTATCATCAAAATAAACAGACTAACTGTTAACTATCCCAATCCTGAGAGAATTCTGAGCATATGTATCAGTATGCAAGGCTTAGCGAGTATCAATGCTGCTTACCCATTTTATAATCCACTTACTCTCAAAATGGAGATAAATGACTGGGGAAATTACACTATTTCCCTAACTCAAAACTCCCCTGCCCATTTAGCACCCTGTAGTATTTATACGTAATATAAACAGCAGAGGTCAGGAAATGAACTTATTTCTTCTTTGAACGCAACAAAACGTTTCCATAGCTTTGGACAAGAAAATGACACCTAAAGAGGTCCTAAAGAAAATGAGATTACCTGTTATGCTGGTTCACACTGGTCCTGCATAAGATAAAAGCTCTAACAAAATTTAACTATGACAGAACCATTACCCACTAACAAAAGATCCTCCCCTCAAGAGAATCCCCCATACCTCAATCACAATCTCTAAACAAACTCAAGATACTTCCAGAGATTCTGGGTAAAAATGCCACTTTTAAACGCTTTTAAGTTACAAAAGACATTACCACACAAAAGAAAATTAATATGGCAAAAAGTTTATCATGCAATGAGGGATACTGAAATGAATTTAATTAATGAAAGAAACCTATGCTTATAATATAGAAGATAATGCAAAACAGTTGAATCAACCTTAATCAGGTAGTACTAACTTATGTTAAATTTTAGTAAAATGCATTTTTTCCCAAATGTGTAGGTGAGTTTTATCAATAAAATTCTACATCCCTCAAATTTGATATTTATATAATTTCTGTTTTATGTTACTAAATCACTTCTATGTTTGCAAAATTTTTTATTCATTGACCGAATGCTAATTTATGTATTCACACATATGCTGCATTATTATGTATCTCCTTTATAAGGACAAATTATAGGGGCAACTGGGTGGCTCAGTTAGTTAAGTGGCCAAACTCTTGATTTTGGCTCAGGTCATGATCTCAGGGTTGTGGGGTTGAGCTCTGCTAGGGTGCCATGCTCAGTGGGGAGTTTGCTTGAGATTCTCTCTTGCTCTTCCCCTCTCCCCCCCTCACTTGCACATGGCTGGTGCTCTCCCCCTCTCTCAAATACATAAATCTTTTTAAAAAAAGAACAAATTACACAGAATATCCATTCACAAAATACTTCTTTTAAATTCCCAAAATAAAAATGTAATAAAAGAGTGAGCTCAGAAGAATAAATAAACAGGGAAAATGGGGAAATTGTTGGCTTCACCAGTAATTTAAAATGTGCAACTGAATATATTGCAACTTTACCACGTAAAATGAGCAAATAACAAAAAACAGAAAACAAAATTCTACCCCCACTTTATAACGTCTTTATTTTTTTTTAAGACTTTATTTATTTGACAAAGAAAGATCACAAGTAGGCAAAGAGGCAGGCAGAGAGAGAGGGGAAGCAGGCTCCCTGCTGAGTAGAGAGCCAGATGCAGGGCTGGATCCCAGGACCCTGATATCATGACCTGAGCCAAAGGCAGACGCTTAACCGACAGAGCCACCCAGGCTCCACTATAACAGTTTTTTAAAAAAGCTTTATATTTGAGGAACTGAAATAAAATGTAAATAATTAATATTAATAAAGAATATTAACTTTCAAATTGACTGCCCTTATCTTTGTTGATAATAGCAAAGAAATGCAAATCAGTAAGCTACTGATAAATGAAATTGTTATTAAACCACCCATATTCTACAATCTGTAATATAAATGAGGTGGGGTGCCTGGGTGGCTCAGCCATTAAGCATCTGCCTTCGGCTCATCAGGTCATGATCCCAGGGTCCTGGGTTCGAGCCCCGCATCGGGCTCCCTGCTCAATGGGAAGCCTGCTTCTCCCTCTCCCACTCCCCCTGCTTGTGTTCCCTCTCTCGCTGTCTTTCTCTCTGTCAAATAAATAAATAAAAATATTTAAAAAATAAATAAATAAAATAAATGAGGTATTTATATGCATTGAAATAGAAAGATCCCCAAGACATATTGTTGCACAACAATAAATCTCGCATATGTAAAGTGATCACAAGTAGGGGCGCCTGGGTGGCTCAGTTTTAAGCCTTGATCCCCAGGTCCTGGGAGGGTCCTGGGATCAAGCCCTGCCTTAGGCTCCTTGCTCTGCGAGCCCCGCGGGAAGCCTGCTTCTCCCTCTCCCACTCCCCCTGCTTGTGTTCCCTCTCTCGCTGTGTCTCTCTCTGTCAAATAAATAAAAATCTTTTAAAAAAATAAAAATTAAAAAAACGAGATCGCAAGTATGCCTCTCCCTCTCCCCACTTCCACATGTGCATACACATGAATGAACAGGAAAAGGTCTGAAAATATAGACATCTACATACCTGTGGATTATCTCTAGGGAGGGAAGGGCAATGGTAAGTTGAAGTAGATACTTTCTATCTCAAAGTTAAGTGTTTTATAAAGAGACGATATTCATGTATTTTTAATATTTGTAATTTTGGAAAATAACCAAATAGAACAGCTTTGGGAAAGGGAAAAAAATGCTACCCACTGATTCTGTCATGATTTGTGATAATAACAAAATGCAAGATCTAATAAATACTATGCATGTATCATGTAATTAAAAATGTTGGTATATTTTGTATTAAAATCACCCTTCTGGACACCTAAATTTAAAAGTGCGTGGGGGTGCCTGGGTGGCTCAGTTGGTTAGGTGTCTGACTCTTGATTTTGGCTTCAATCAGGATCTGGGGTCCTGGGATGGAGCCCTGCATCAGGCTCCATGCTTGGTGGGGAATCTGCTGCAGATTCTCTCTCTCTCTCTCCCCCTCTGCCCCTCCCCCAGCTTGATCTCACACTCTCTCTCTCCCTAAAAGGAATAATTAAATCTTTAAAAAATTAAAAAAAAATAAAAGTGTACCTCTGTGTAGATATCCTATGTAAAGAGAGGAACAAATGTATACATTTCAAGGTTTTTTTTTAAGATTTTATTTATTTATTTATTTGAGAGAGAGAGCATGAGTGAGAGAGCAGAAGCAGCAGAGGGAGAGGGAGAAGCAGGCTCCCCACTGAGCAGGGAGACCGATGCAGAGCTAGATCCCAGGACTCTGGGATCATGACCAGAGCAGAAGGCAGTCGCTTGACCGACTGAGCCACCCAGGTGCCCCACATTTCAAGTTTTTAATTGGATAAATGTATTAACCAAAAATAAAAATCTGAATAATGCAGCATATGTGTGAATACATAAGTTAGCATTCGGTCAATGAATAAAAAATTTTGCAAACATAGAAGTGATTTAGTAACATAAAACAGAAATTATATAAATATCAAATTTGAGGGATGTAGAATTTTATTGATAAAACTCACCTACACATTTGGGAAAAAATGCATTTTACTAAAATTTAACATAAGTTAGTACTACCTGATTAAGGTTGATTCAACTGTTTTGCATTATCTTCTATATTATGAGCATAGGTTTCTTTCATTAATTAAATTCATTTCAGTACCCCTCATTGCATGATACTCTATTCAACTTTGAACAAGAATTCTAAACTAAATTGATTCTCAACCCAGACTATACTCACTCTTGGTTGCTCAGTGAGGCTGTCCTTCTACGTTTGACTTGGACTTCCACCTCTGGTACGTGCTGTTCCGTAGTCCGTCTCAGGTGTAAGCGGTCCCTGAAGCAGAAAGAGAAATTTATTTTGTAAGACTTCATCAACTTTAAAATAACCACTTATTTAAAGGCTGTATTTATTTTTAAATATTTTATTTATTTATTTGCGAGAGAGAGAGCAAGTGAGAGAACATAAGCAGGGTGAAGGGCAGAGGGAGAAGCAGACTCCTCACTGGGCATGGAGCCTGATGTGGGATTTGATCCCTGGACTCCAGGACCATGACCCGAGCTGAAGCCTTGGCTTAACTGACTGAGCCACCAAGGCGCCCCTGAAGGCTGTATGTAGAACTATATTAATATAATGGAGTTTTTAAAGTGCTTATAATATAATTAAAACAAGGTACAATAGTAATGTAAGTCAATTGTATCTCAGTAAAAATGGTAGAAAAGAAACATGGCAAAATTTTAATGAAAATATCCTCCAATAGTCAGGATCTATCCTAAAACCACTTTCTCCCTTTTGAAACCCCTAACATCAGGTCACTTGGGTGTCTCAGTCAGCTGAGCATCTGACTCTCCGTTTGGGCTCAGGTCATGCATGATCTCAGGTTGGTGAGATGGAGCCCCATGTTGGGCTCTGTGCTCAGCAGGCAGGCGGCTTGAGTTTCTCTCCCTCCACCCCTCCCCCAACTCATAAACACCCTCTCTTTTTCTCTCCCTCCCTCCCTCTCAAACAAATAAATTTGTTAAAAAAAAAAAAAAAGAAAAGAAAAAAGAAGCCCCCTGGGGGTGCCTGGATGGCTCAGTTGGTTCGGTGTCTGCCTTCGGCTCAGGTCATGGGATTGGGCCCCACATCAGGCTCCATGTTCAGTGGGGAACCTGCTTCTCCCTCTGCTGCTCCCCGTGCTTGTTCTCTCTCTCTCTGTGCCAAATAAATAAATAAAATCTTAAAAAAAGAGAAAAAGCCCCCTAACATCAGAAAACTGGGGGGGGGGGGAATATATCAGAGAATTAAGCAAAAAGAAAATATTTCCACTTATTTTTGTATTATGCAGACATAAAGCTATACATTTACAGAGATATACTTATATGCACTAACCTACTACCCATACCTACATACCCTCAAAAAATAGATGGTTTGGTTAGATTCCAAAACTGGTTTGAAATATTTTTAAAGATATTTTTAATTTATTTGAGAGAGCAAGCGAGAGTGGCGGGGGGGGCGGGGCGGGGGGCAGGGGAGGGAGGTAGGCACAGGGAGAGGGAGAAGCAGATTCCCTCTGAGAAGGGAGTCGGATGAGGGGCTTGATCCCAGGACCCTGAGATCATGACCTGAGTTGAAGGCAGAGGCTTAACTGACTGAGCCACCCATGTGTCCCTGGTTTGAAAATATTTTATTAGGACAGATCTTCTAGTATAATGGAATAAAGCATAAAGTTTAAATTATAAAATTTCTACTTAAGCAACCTCCTGTGCAAATGTTGTTTTCCTAGGATTTGTAAAACAAGAAATAAAAGGGATGCTTAAACAAAAAATACATAAAACCAACATAGCTACCACCATCTTATGATCTGCAGATCAGCTCACAAAATGGCTGCTCAAGGGATCTGAGCATGTAATCTCCCACCTGGGTCATCCACGTTAGAAACTACAGGAACCACTCTTACAACTGCAATTTAACAATGCTAATCAGAGAGGCTAGAAGAAAAGCAGTTTACAAAAATCATGCAATGTAATATTTCCAGGGCAGAATTCATTTTTTAAAATATTTTATTTATTTATTTGACAGAGCGCGAGCACAAGTAGGCAGAGCAGTAGACAGAGGGAGAGGGAGAAACAGGCTCCCCGCTGAGCAGAGAGCCCAACATGGGGCTGGATCCCAGGACCCTGAGATCACAACCTGGGCTGAAGGCAGCCACTTCACCGACTGAGCCACCTAGGCCCCCCTCCCTCCAGGGCAGAATTCAAGGAAGCATCCCCAAAACTCATTCTTTGAACCCTTGCTATTTTCAAATTCATGTTAGATTATGCAAAATAACCCATTCAAATAGCTTTCCAATAAACCCAAGTTGCTTTACTGCTTCAAAAACTTTAGTGTTTCAATCAAGCATTAGAAATCATTTAAGGGGCGCCTGGGTGGCTCAGATGGTTAAGCGTCTGCCTTCGGCTCAGGTCATGATCCCAGGGTCCTGGGATCCAGCTCCGCACTGGGCTCCTTGCTCAGCGGGAAGCCTGCTTCTCCCTCTCCTTCTACTGCTCCCCCTGCTTGTGCTCTCTCGCTCTGTCAAATAAATAAAATCTTAAAAAAAAAAAAGAAATCATTTAAAAATCACAAATGTACATAACAGATTTTTAAATCATAAAAGTATATAATTTGCTAATCTCCTTGACCTTTGATTAGGCAATGGTTTCCTAGATACCTGAAGCACCAGAGAAAGGAATCCATAAATTGGATTTCATCAAAAGTAAAATACGTATTTGCTTCAAAGGACACTATTAAGAAAGTGAAAATGTAACTGGCCAAATGGGAGAAAATATTTGCAATTCACACAGCTCAAAAACGCTTACAACTCAATAATAAAATGAAAAAACCCCACTTAACAATGGGTGAAAGATTGGAACAGATTACTTTCCACAGACATACAAATTTATATCAGCACAAAAAAAGATATTTAATATCAGTATAGTCATTAGGGAAATGCAAATAAAAATTACAAACTTACTACTTCACACCTCCGGAGTGGAGGAGGAGGTGGAGAAACTGGTAGTGGGAATGTGAAATGGTGTATAGCCTCTGACACTTCCTAAAAATGTGAACCACATAGTTTAGCATTTGACACTAATTCAACTCCTAGAGGAAGTAAAATATATGTGCTGCCGAAGTGAACACCAAGAGGGAGAAAAAAAAAACCAAAATCATATAAACTTGAGTGTGAATGTTCCTAGCAGCTTTATTTAATCTTAAGAGCCAAAAAGCAGAAACAACCCAAAGTACAACCACTAAAAAATGGATAAACCAAATATGGTGCAGTATGGTACATTCAATACAATGGAATGTCATTCAGTGCCAAAATGGAATGAAGTATTTATCGATGAAACATGGCTTCACAAATATATTTGTTAATATTATATTAAAATTATATAATAAAAAGAACTATCATAGACCTCTATGTCATAGACCATCAATTATGATTAATCTAATAGTATAATTGAAAATACCGCATTACCAAAAAATAAAAATAAATTAAAATCTTCAGTTCCTTTATCCCTTCATAGCAGTTGCGCAGTATGAAAAAGTCTGAGTTCATGGGAGAAATGAAACAGCACACAAAATTATTCAATTTTCTAAATCCATTTTTAAAGCTACATGTATGGGGTGCCTAGGTGGCTCAGTCATTACGCGTCTGCCTTCGGCTCAGGTCATGATCCCAGGATCCTGGAATCGAGCCCCGCATCGGGCTCCCCGCTCTGTGGGAAGCCTGCTTCTCCCTCTCCCCCTTCCCTGCTTGTGCTCCCTCTCTCACTGTGTCTCTCTCTGTCAAATAAACAAAATCTTTAAGAGAAACTTAAAGCTCCATGTAAAATCAAGGAGCAGCACTGTTTTCACAATATAGGAAGTTTGTTCTAAATATACATACATGTGGTTTTATAATCTTCCTACTGCATTCACAACCTAGAAACCAGCTTTCAGAAAATAAGCATTTAAAGGAAAAATAGAGAGGTGCCTGGCTGACTCATTCAATGAAGCATGCAACTCTTGATCTCAGGGTTGTGGGTTCAAGCCCCACATTGGGTGTAGAGATTACTTAAAAATAAAATCTTAAATAAGTAAACAATAAAGGAAAAAAAGATGGGGTTTGTTGGCTCAGTCAGTGGAGCATGTGACTCGATTTCAGGGTTGTGAGTTCAAGCCCCACATTGGGCATAGAACATACTTTAAAAAGGTAATGGAAAAAGTTGTATGTGCACAATGTTATTTTTTTTGCTACAAAATTACTTTCATTAAAAAAATAATACTAATTTGGAAATACAATGAGAAGCAACAAGGATGAGATCACACAATGTTTTTCCAAATAGCCTAACATTCTGTCAAATATATAATATCCCTTACATCTGCCCAAAAAACCTAATAAAAATTCAACTACTAAGATCTCAAGAATGAAAAATAAAAAAAGAAAATGTGAGGTAATCTCAGTCTACAGATCTTCCCATAATCATGAGAAAATCAGTGCCTCTAAACCAAAACCTGTCGAACCATCAAAAAGAAATTTCTAAGCCAGCCAGCATTCAGGAACTAGAAGGCAAAAGAAATGACTCCCTTATACAACCTTTGTTAGTGAGAGAGACAACCTTAACCATCAACAACTCTTAAGCTTTCTGGATCTGGGTCACACAAGTGGAAGGGGCAAAGGAGACCAGCAATAAAATCCTAATGTACACTGAAGAAAGACAAAAAATCTCATTGTCCCTGTCATGTTGAGTCAATACTCATACCCTGCTTAATTCAAGGATTCTTTCTAAATATAGCTAAGTAGCAGAGTACAATGTCAAAGTAAGAGATTAAACTCAAAATTGATTAAAGACCTAAATGTGAGACCTGAAACCATAAAACTCCTTAAAGAAAATAAAAGCAGTAATTTATTAGATGTTGGCCTTAGCAAAATTTTCCTATAGAGGTCTCCTCTGGCAAGAGAAACAAAAACAATTAAACTATAGGGTCGACATGAAAATAAAAAGCTTTTGCACAGCAATGGACAACACCAACAAAAAACAGGCAACCTACTGAATGGGAGAAAATATTTGCAAACGATAGATCTGATAAGGGGTTAACGTAATGTATCTGATAATTTAATGTATCTGATAAGGGGTTAGTATATAAATAACATACACACACATGCCCCCACACACACACACAAATAAAAAAATCCCATTAAAAATGGGCAGAGGAACTGAACTTTTTTTTTTTCCAAAGATATATAGAGCACCAACAGATACATGAGAAGACGCTCAATATCACTAATCATCAGGAAAATGCAAATCAATACCACAGTCAGATATCACCTCATACCAGTCAGAATGGCTAGTATCAAAAAGACAAGAAATAACTCTTTGTGAGGATGTGGAAAAAAGAAACGCATGCACTCTTGGTAGAAATGTAAACTGGTCCAATCACTGTGGAAAACAGTATATAGGTTCCTCAAAAAATTAAAAATAGAAATAGCACATGATCCAGTAATTCCACTTCTGATCATTTACCCAAAGAAAACAAAAGCACTAATTCAAAAACATACATGTACTCCTGGGTTGACTGTAGCATTATGTATAATAGCCAAGATAGTAAAGCAACTATCCATGTGTCTGTCAATAGATGAATGGATAAAGATGCAGTATATAAATACAATATTACTCAGGTATAAAAAAAAAATTTTGCCATTTTTGACAAGATGGATGGACCGAAAGGGTATTATGCTAAGTGAAATAAGTCAGAGAAATTCAAGTACCTTATTATTTCACTTATATGTGGAATCAAAAAAAAAAAAAAGAAGAAGAAACAAAAAAACAAACAGAAACAGACACCCAAAAGAACAGAGATGAAACTGGTGGTTACCAGAGGGGAGAATGGGGAGGAGGGGCAAAACAGGTGAAGGGGAGTGGGAAGTACAAGCGTCCAGATATGGAATGAGTAAGTCAGGGGAATGCAATAGAGAATATAGTCAATGATATGTATTTCAACAGCACTGTATGGTGACAGAGGGTAACTACACTTATGAACACTGCACAACATAGAGAGTTGTTGAATCACTACGCTGTGCACTTGGAACTAATGAAGCATTGTGTGTCAACAAAACTCCAATTAAAAAAAAGAGTAACTTTGAGGCCTTGACATCTTAAATGTGGAATTTTTAAAAAACAAATCTGAGCACATTCAGAGGAAAGGCCAGGAATAAAGATGTAGCATCACCACATATGGGGAAAGTATTTCAGTAATGAGACATGTGACATGCACTGGGCAAACCAATATAATACAAAATAATCTGAATAAACCCAAACCAGACAGTACCTTGCCTTAGATAGCAATACAACAATCCCTGGACTGTTTCCTTGCACTAAACCACAGAAAGGGTTCACACTGCCTCGTCATTTTCAAAAAGCCCTGCTACTAAGCCCAATATTCAGTGGGCAGGGCAGAGACCTTGAAACCTCAGAGGTCTTTCCAAAGGGATCCGCCATATTGAGATCCTGAGTCTCCGTGAAAAACTACAAAATGGCTGATCAGGATAATACACGCTCATTTTGCAAATAGCCAAAATGATCAGAAGTTAAAGCAAAATATAATTCTTTGAAGCAGTATGTGTATACAAGTAGGAAAAAAATGAGCAAACCGTAAGTATCACAGAATTCCAGCCTCCTGCTATTTCTAAAACTACTCAAAAGAAAATTCTACAACAAAGCTTTCCAAGTCTTCTGGGTTTATGTTTTCCTTAATTACATTCCAATTTAGCACAACCATATTGTTTGTGATAGAGAGGAAAAAAAAAAAAAGGCAAGCCCATCAACATTCTGCAAAGAAAAACAAAGTCCTTGAAAATGGTCCCCTTCAAAAGTGGAATACAGAACACTGGAATAGTTACTTTCTTAATTATATTTTCTCACCAAATTTTCAAAGTAGGTCCAACTTCAAAATGATGGGTCAAAAGCATCACTTTAAAAACCTGACTAGGGCAAGAATTCCCTAATCCAACATATACTTACAGCCGTCTAGCATTCTACTTTTCTGATTCTCTGCTCTGCTCCCCTTCAGCAAAGAAAACTTACAGGTCTCAGCTCCTAAAAACCCTGCAGGAGCCCTGATCCCCGATTTAAGGAAACGGTATATAAAGGCCGCATCACAAAAAGAACATCCACAGATTAAGAAATACGACACTCTTAAAGGTGATGCAGTTGTGCAATTATCGAATCTGTAAAGTGGAAATCAAATATAATAAGGGGTTTTCTAAAGGGTTACTGAATCCCCTTTGAGTATTAAGAGACCGCTCATAATACAACCTAGGGAATCTATAAAAATGAAAAGGTGGACCTCTGTAAGTCAGAAAACATTTAAAATCAGCACCATTGATAGAGGCTGCCCTAAGTAATAGCACTGTGGATCATGGGATGACTTCGCCTTTCTTGCACTGCCTGCAGGCCCCCATCTCTCCCTTCTGCGGCGCAACAGAAAAGTAGGGGCACAGCATGGCTGCCAGTCTAGGCAGGCATAGAACGTACAAATCCTTTGCCCCGTTGCCCCCTCCACTCCAATGTGGCCTTATGGGCAAGGGGCGGCCCAAGGTACAAGCTCAGCAAATCCACGTCCTCCTTCCCTCCATGCACTGCAGCACAAGAGGGCAGGAGCAGCCGTTACAGCAGACAGGTGAAGGGGGGGTAGCTGCCAGCCCCACCAAGCGGATGCTGCGCAAACCCCCTCCCCTGATGCCCGCCCCATTGCCGGGCGGAGACAGTGTCTTCCCAGTTGCGCCTGCGCACCCAAAATCCCGCACCCTTCCCCACTGCGGCACTTTGGGGAGGGGCAGCTTGCCCGCGTTGCCGGCCTCCTCCCCTCAGCACTGCGCTTTGAAGGTGCCGCCGAAATTGCCGCCTGGGAGAAGCTGCATAGACTACCCTTCCCCCACTGCGGCACTGGGGGAGGGGTAGGCTGCCCCCAACCCTGTCACGCCTGCGCAGATCCGCACATCTGCAGCGGCAGCCATCTTTGGCGAGCCGCACAATGGTCGTGACGCGGCAGCGGACCGCTGAAAACCTTATTCCGAATACAGGAAAAATCAGTGCAAACAAGACACGCCTCTGCAGTATTACATCCCAGAACCCGGTACGACTCTCACAAGTTCATAAAGCAAACTCTGCACACCATATCCCTAATCTTACACCAAAACCACAAAAGCGAGGAATTAAGGAGTAAAATATCTAAAGACAAACATTTGTGCAGCTATCCCTTCAGATGAGTAATGGATAGGTTCGCCCTAATATAAACTCTTTAGACTGCCTCAGATTAGAGAACAAATGAACGGTCTCCCCTTTCCCTCTAAGGGCTGTGGACCACTCGCTGCCCCTTCCGTCAGCCCACTACCAGACTACAGATCCACTGCCTTCGCCGCCTTTTACTGCGTTCATTCAACCACCACCATGGCGGCCACTCTTCCAAGGTTCCCACACGCCACCATGACTGCCCCCACCACCACCTGATCGCCCCTCCCGTCACCACCATCATGGCTGCCTCACCGCCCCCACACATACCATATCCAAGGTGGGTCACCCCTTTCACCGTGCCACCCTCTTTGTAGCACCCTCACGGTGGCCTCCCTGCCACCCCCCTCCCAAACACCGCCATGGCAGCCACCCCCACTGCCCCTTACCACCTCCGCCCCTCCCTACCACCACCATGACGGTCACTTTGCTGCCTCCCCCCAAACCATGGCCACCATGATCACCTTGCTAGTCACCCTGCCATCTCTTCCGTATCACTGCCACAGTGGCCACCTTGTTGACCCCCAAACCACCAGCACGGCCACCGTGGCTACCCCCTCACTACCATCACAACCAAGAACAGCCTACCCTCTACTCCCTCCCACCACCACCATGGCGGACACCATTGCTACAACATGATCACATCATAGTGGACACCTCACCCTAAAGACCCCTCCTTATCACCACTTCAGCCACCCTGCTACCCCCAGATACCACGGTCACCAATACCCGATGCCCTACCCTGTCACCCCCTCCTTGGTACTGTGGATTCCCCAGTGATCCCACCCCATCGTACCTTCCCCTGCCTTTCGCACCACAGCCATCACAATATACCCTCCTCAACCACAGTCATGGCCTCATATCTCAAGGACAAAGGGCCACTCTAGAATGGATCTGATGGGACACAATACAGTGGCGTATACCGGCTGCAATATGACACGGCACGGTCAGAGTATCGTCCAGGGAGGTCCAACCAATCCCCAAACCTTCAAAAGTGTACCATTCAATTCTCCAGAACAACGAACTTTAGAGCCAGATTCCCACTATATACAACAATACTTTAAATTCTACGAACTTGGAACACTGAACAAACAAAAATGACTATTCCTCAGGCTGTCTCTAAGGGAAGAGATCCACACAGCTAACCTGGCCCGCTCCATCGCGCTGCTAGCCGCTCCTCAGTACAGACCGTCAGGCATCTCCGGCGACCACTCCACTCTGCACTTGAGTCACTGCAGCAACACCAACTAATCGCACCAGTTCCACATGCGCATGCGCAGCAAACCTCCCCTCCGGCTTTGGCTGCGCAACCGCAACAGTTTGCCGCAGTGCTGAGGTCCTGCCGCAGTGCAGGGGTGCCAGCGCCTCCGCTAAGTGGAATTACCGGGGCCTGATGTCTGCTGGATTCCAAATAGCCAAGGCATTAGCGCCTTAAGAGAGGGACTCCAGGGACGACACCACCGCCCTGGGGTTCAATGGCAAGGTCTTTTTTTAAATATGTGTAAAATGTTGAGGAAATAATTCAAATCTTTGCAAGCATCATGGGCCAAGCAATCCTGATTTACAATCATCTTCATGTTTTCCTACACCATGTCAGAAATGCTGATTTGGAAAAGTTAAATTGATGCAAAACCACAGTCAATGCAATATTGCTAGATAATCGAAGCTAGAAGAAAATCCCTTTTAAAAGATACTATATTATTTGAATTTGGTGGGATTTCTTTCCTTCTTTTTCTGCTTTATACAGTTTTTTTTTTTTTTTGCAAATTGTCAAAACTATGCCAAAACAATCATAATGTAATTAAACTCTCCAATACAGAATGGATAAGTAAGTAAATTGGAAAACTTGTCTACCCAATTCGTATAAAATGAAAAATAAATTTGTATTCCTACATAAAACCTTTACATAGGTATATTGAAATGTTTGCCAATAATCAGTGATAGTTGGAGTGGGGAAAATAACACTTTCATACAATAGAAATGAGCAAGTAGATACAATGATTTTTTTTTTCTTTCCAAATAACACCCTCTACAGATTTAAGAGACACTTTGGTAACTCCAAAATTGTTACATATGTATAACATGGAAAAAGACAATGCTGAGGAGACAAAGCTAAAGAAATAATCCCGAAGCTGTATTTGCATAGAATTTTACATAGCTTTGCTATTTTCTCAATTCTCCATGTCAAAGAACTGAGGGTGAGGGTGGGCTAATGGTGACTAAACGGCTAAAATTCCCCCCCCACCCCCTAAGCTAGTGCTCTGTTCCCAATCATCTTGTACTATACAAACAAGTGTGAAGAGACATGTCAATGCAGACATCTATCATAATAAAATCTTGAAAACTATGTAATGTGCCTCATGAAAGATATACAGGCTAAGTAAATTTTTACCTATGTATATAAACAATAATAGGCTGATATATAGAAATATAATACAGCTCATATAAAGAATGAATCATTTGAAATTATCAATATTAAACAGATTTTGACTACAAAATTGCACTAATAGTTCATTTTTACACATTCTTGTGAAGTAAAAATGAAGGAGTTCATAACATACTATCCCAAAATATGCCACTCTGGCATACTGACTATTTTTAGTTACTCCCCTAGAAATAGAAAGTCAACTCTGATCATGGGAGTGAATAGCAAAATATTATGTAAAATTAATGCTATGTGAATATTTTATGTAAATATATGTTTACATGCACATTAAAAAAATGTATGAATGGATACAAACCACTATAGTGTTGAAAACCATCCTTGGACTCAGACTCATTCGATTCAAATTCTACTTGTGAAACTTGACAGCAATGTTACTTTAGGCAATTATCTAACTTTCTGTGCCTTATTTTTTTTTTTAATCTGTAAAATATGGAGGATTTGTACTTATCTTACACAATGATTTGACAGTTAAATGAGTGATTATGCATATATAGAATAGTGTTTGATTCAGACCAAAAACTCTATAAATGTGTTAGCTCTTTGAGTAGCCCCAATTATTACAGTGGTAACTTCCACTGGGAAATAAAAATTGTGTATATATGTTATTGTTGTTAATTAAAATTTGTACCTTACTCATATTTCCTCAGATTTTTCTTAATGTCATTTTCTTGTTGCAAGATACCATACACATGTTCAGTAGTCATGTCCCTTTAGGCTCATGTTGGCTGTAACAATTTGGGTATTTGTATGTTTTTTTTTTTTAATGTTTTTACCATGTTTATACTTTATACAGTGTTAATTACCTTTAGAATTAAAAAATAAATATTAAGATAAAACAAAATTATATTTAATTCTCAACTCTAACATACTTGATTGTCTAGTTTATTGACCCATCTTCCAAATCCTTTTCCAGCCTGCTCTTTTTGACAACTCTGACCACACTCCTGATAATTTTCTGGCTGCTCTACCACCGTAAGAAGCTGGCTTTAGATGCCAAAGAAGACACGATAAGCTCCCTGAGCCTTACACACAATCCAAAGAGAGCTGCCATATTGGATCACTCATATACTTAAAGAGTATAATTTATATCAATTTACAAGCCTGATTGAGCATGCCCTGCAAATGGGAATATACAAAAAAAAGGGGGAGGGGGACTTTACCAATATGCTTTGTTATAAGGACTGTGTTGCTAGACAGATATGTCTCCCAACAATTCCATTTTTTCCAAAGTCTAGACCTATCCCCAAGTCATACACTCAAAGGTATAAGCTGAAAGGACAACAAATCTGGAGTAAAACTGTTCTCAAAATTAAAACAAAACAAAGCAAAAAGAACTTTTCTCTGTATAACTGAAGCTAAAGAATCTGTAAAACTGATCAGAACTCCTATATCATATATAAAAATTAAATCAAAATGGATTAAAGACTTAATGTAAGAGTTTAAAATATAAAACTCTTAGATGAAAACATGGGTGTAAATCTGTGTGATATTGACTTAAGTAAGCAACGTTTTCTTAGATAGGATACCTAATGCACAAGAAGCCAAAAAAATAAAGTGGACTTTATCACAATTACATAGAAGTTTTTGCTTCAAAAGACACTATTAAGAAAATAAAATGACAACCAGCAGAATGGTGGAAAATATTTGCAAATATCATATAAAGGAAGTCTCACAACTCAACAATAAAAAGAGAAAATAAATTAAAATGCAAAAGATTTGAATAAATAATTCACCCAAAAAAACGATAAACAAATGGCTAATCAGCACATGAAAAGATGTTCAACATCAATAGTCATTAGGGAAATGCAAAAGATTAGCTCCATGAGGTGCCACTTCACACTCAGTAGGAGGGCTATCATCAAAAAGCCAATAACAAGTGTTATGGAGGATGTGGACAAATTGGTACCTTCATACGTTGCTGATAGGAATGTAAATTAATGCAGCCACTTTAGAAAAAAGTTTGGTAATACCTAAAAATTTAACCATAAAGTTATCCTATGACCCACAACTCTACTTTTAATATATAACCAAAAAGAAATGAAAACACACATCTATGCAAAAATTTGTACATGAATTTTCATAGCAGTCATTATAATAGAGAGAGGAAATAACTCAGATGTCTATCAACTGATAAATGGATAAACAAAATATGTGGTATGGCATATTTATACTATATCATTTAGCCATAAAAAGGAATGAAGTATTGATTCATGCTGTAAAATGGATGAACCCTGAAAAATGTTATGCTGAGTGAAAAAATCCAAACACAAAAGGCCACATTTTGTATGAGTGACTTATATGAAATGTTCAAAATAGTCAAATCCATAGAGACAGAAAGCCGAGCAGTGATGGTCAGAGAATGGGGGAAGGATGAGTAGGGAGTGATTGCTAGTGGTTATTGGGTTTCTTTATAGGATGATGAAATGTTCTGGAATTAAATAGTAGGGATGTTTGTAAAACATTGTCAATATACTAAAAATCACTGAATTGTACAATTTTAAAAAGGAGGATATTATGGTGTGTACATTATATATATTTTTTTAATTTCAATTGAGGGAAATTTTACAAAATACCTGAATAGTAATCCAAAAACTGTCAAAAACAAAGAAAGTCTGAGAAGCTTTTTGGGTTTTGTTACAACCAAGAAGAGCTTTGAGAGAGGAGTATTAAATGCAATATCCTGGATGAGATCTAGGAGCAGAGAAAGGACATTATGAAGAAACTGAGGACATCTGAATAAAGTATGAACTTCAGTGTTGGTTCATTAACTGCAACCAATGCACCATACTAACGTAAGATGTTGATAACAGAGGAATATATGTGTGAGATATAGAATAACCGCACTATCTTTGAAAGAATTATGTAAATATAAAGCTGTTCTGAAATAAAAAGTTAATTAAGAGAATAAACTGATCAGAAATTATATACAAAAGTGTCCTAACATAGTCACCTACAAAGGAGAAGGTTAGTGGACAGGATAGAAAGATGTACCACTGAAGCATCTCTGTAAGCCTATTTTTTTAATTGTCATTTGAATTTATGAACTGTACCAAATAAAAAGTAAACAATCAAATGATACAGAAAAAGTTGTTTAAGGACACTTGTCTGGCAAAAGTATATAATAAAGAAGGTTAAAAGAGACAGGAGAATCCATTTGCAATATACTTAATATATACTACATCAAGAACTCATAGAAATCAATAAGGAAAAGAGAATTTCAAAGGAAAAAGTGCAAGGATGTTCGGTCATTATGAAGTACTTGCTCTTTGTGATCGCTCTACTCTGCACCTGCTGCAGATCTCTCTACCTAGGTGGTCCTTCTCACCTTCTGCTTTTGCCACAGTCAAACCTACACAGCGCACAGACTCCCCACTCTGGCCCTTCTAATTCCTCTGGCAGGTGAAGAACAAAGAATACCAGGCTCCCTCCCTAGCAGTGGAGCCCACCCCCCAGCCACTACAAAACCCAAGCATACCATCCAAGGAGGAGTAGAAGGCAAGCAGGTAAATAGAAGAGATCAAGAAGAGGCAGCCAGCCAAAAGAAAATGATTAGATTCTAACCATGAGGTCTTCCAATTTACACACATTCTGATCCTTAGAAAATTTGCTGCTTGGCCAAGGTCTGCATAAATCCCAACAGCATTATTTTGAATTTCTTGCTTTTTGAAATAATCCAAATAGACAGTGATAAGTTCAAATATACAGACTTAACATTTTCTAAAGTAACTCAGTCAATGTTAGGGGAAAAGCTCGAGGACGGGAAGAAGCAAAGAAAAAGTTTGTTTTGAAAGTGGATTTCCATTTTGAGTTTGTTATATTGTGAAATTATTATATGCTGAAAATGTATA